AAGCTATCTGTAATTTGAAACGAGGCAAAGCGGCAGGACCCGACGGAATTATTCCGGTGTTTAAATATGGGGGTGACATACTAGTATATAGTTTAACTAAGGAACTAGGTAACGTCTGGGAATCAGAGACGGTTCCATCAGATTGGGGTAAGTCACTTATTATACCAATATTCAAGAAGGGAGACAAGTCGTCATGTGATAATCATAGAGGAATCAGCCTGACGAACATAGTCTCTAAAATCCTAGGCTCAGTAATCATCCACAGACTAAGCCAAACTCGGGAGGAACAAACGAGGGAAAATCAAGCGGGCTTTAGGCCAGGTAGAGGGTGCATAGATCATATCTTCACTCTCCGACAGATCCTAGAACATAGACACACTTTTAGGCGTCCAACAATTGCCATATTTCTTGACTTGAAGGCGGCCTTCGACTCCGTGGATCTAGAGGTACTATGGCAATGTTTGACTGTGAAGGGAGTGCTAAGAAAGTACATTGCACTAATCAAGGCACTCTACTCAAACTCACGTAGCTGTGTAAGGGCTTATGGGGAATTGTCATCTGAATTGATAACAACCAGTGGTGTCCGTCAAGGATGCCCACTTTCCCCTTTTCTCTTTAACTTCATCATAGATATGCTAATGGAAGTCTCCTTAACTGAACTTAACGACTTAGGAATCGAATTGTTACCAGGGAATAGTCTTATGGACTTAGAATATGCAGACGACATAGTCCTGTTAGGGGAGGATACTGACAAAACGCTGAGTCTTCTGAACACCTTGAGCAGCAATCTTCGTATGTTTGGCATGCGATTCGCTCCTGTAAAATGTAAGATGCTGCTACAGGACTGGACTACTTCAACTCCTAGCTTAGTGATAGGGAGTGAAGTGATAGAACATGTTGACCACTTCACCTATTTGGGAAGCTGTATCAGCACCAACGGATTGATTGGTGACGAAATCACAGCACGGATCCAAAAGGCTCGGGCTGCTTTCGCTAACTTACACCGTCTCTGGCGTAGGCGTGACATCCGGCTGTCAACCAAGGGACGTGTATACTGCTCATCAGTTCGCTCCGTCCTTCTCTATGGCGGTGAGACGTGGCCATTGAGAGCGGAAGACATGAAGAGATTGTCTGTTTTTGACCACAGATGTTTACGATCTCTTTTTCGCGTTAGGTGGTATAATAAGGTAAGTAATGTTGACGTTAGGCGTAGAGTGTTGGGCAAAGAAGGAAAATCACTCGAAGAGGCTATGAAGTTACATAGATTGAGATGGCTAGGTCACGTGCTGCGCATGCCTAACCATCGTCTCCCCCGATGGGCATTACTAGCTGATATAGGTGCAGGTTGGAAAAGAGTAAGTGGTGGCCAAACAAAAACATGGCATCAATTCATGAAATCCCTGACAGTTAAACTGAGTCAGGTAGGGAGATGCAGACTTCCGGGTTGGGGCTCTCGGGACTCTAAGAATCAATGGCTGGAGACAATAGGCGACATGGCTCAAAATCGTTGTCAATGGCGCAGATGTATTCAGTCTCTGTAATCTTTCATATTCCTTTCTACCATTACTCATTCTGTTTCACTCCTTTACTTGTCAAAACTCTATTGATTCTCTTCACGCATTTCCTTGTCTACCTGTGTGTGCTCTTTGGAACGTGGCAACTCGAACTGCTGCACTTCGGTGCCAAGTTCTATGTTGAATCCAGCCAACCATAAACGTTAAAAGCAAAATAAAAATAATGGTGAAACTAATAATGATAGCATAAATAAGAAAGGATATAAAGCATCTACACTTTTATCACATATAAACAGGACAAATCTGAGACCCTACGTAGGATTCTCAATAAAGCAGGAATTATGGTGGCGTGCAATCCAACAAACTCACTCAGAAACAAGCTCTGTAGGTTAAAGGACCCGCTAGACCCAATTAAACAAAATAATATAATTTACAAAATACCTTGCAATGACTGTGTGTTAATTGAACTACATAGGTCAAACTAGTAGATCGGGCGAGGGTAGTCAGATTGTCACAACATAAGAATTTAGCTAAGGTTAGAATGATTGATCCCATGATGATAAGTAATTTAGAAAAAACTCGGCAATCGCACTGCATGCATTAACACGCAACCACACAATAGGGTGGGATAGAGTCAAAATTTCAAAAAGTAATATAGGTAGTTGGAGAGAGAGATTGATTACTGAATTCTGGTTCATCTAGTCTACCTAGGCCCAACACATGCAACAGAAATGACTCAATGCAAATTCCAGAGACGTGGAAGATATTATTACTGCCAGTTAAATCAGAGGAGGATGATAAATAATGTTAAAATGTATTCACTTTACATTATTACATTCTGATAAGTTACTTTACTATAAAAACATCTTATTTCCCATCTGATTGTATTTGATCAATAACACTGATATTATTATTTCCGAATGCACTTTATCTTATGTCGATTTTATTCCAATGTCTAATCAATTTTTACTCATGTATATAAACGAAGCAAGAAAATTGTGTGAGTACCTTGATATGATTATTAGCAGTAATAATTTGTGCTCGAAACATCATCAATTAATATTACTGTATAACACTGTGTGATTTATCAAGATAAAATCTTATCCATAATGAAGTTATGCTCTACCACAGTGCCCAAGTTTTATACTTACATCAATATCTAACCTATTTATTTTGAAGAAATATGTATGTACAGTTCGTTTACTTCGGCTTACAATAAGGTTGAAATACCTTTACAAGTATAAATGAGAAAAATTCACATTTTTCCTATGTTCTCTTGCTTTCATCGACTAGACTTCATCAATAGGTAAAACATTTCCTTTCTTTCTGTTCCTTTTCTCTCTCTTCTTTTTCCGTTATGTGCTGCTTTGTCTCTTTCTCTCGCTTACGCCAGTTAATAAGACAGCTCCCACTTTTCTAACACCTTCAAACACTGTTTCAGCTTTACCTTTGCTACTGAACATGCCAATGAATTGTTGTAATAATGAACTGTGGTTTCCTTAATCTATGTAGAATTCTATTTATTAATAATGTACTAACTGGATGCAATACTGTAGTAAAAATGCTGAGAATTCCATTCTGTATCACAAGTACTGTTTTGGAATAAAGCAAATTATTATTATTATTATTATTATTTCGTACACCTAATTTCATGATCTTATTTCTTAATACTATTACTACTAATTATTTCTTAAGTTATTTTATTATTTCATTTATGCTGCTTTCCCACACAATACTCAGTATATTTTTGGTATAACACGTCGACACAATGATAGACGTTTGCTGGATATCAAATGCAAACAAACACGCTAGCTAATATTTCATCCATGGGAATGGATTTAATTTACTGACAAACTATTAACTTAACATTCCCCCTTAATTGAACCTCTAATTCAATATAACTTGTATTTCGAGGCTATTTACTAAAATACTTGTTAGAATAAAGCAGTTGACTTTTTAATATACTTTAATGATCATGGTTTGAATGATACTTGGACTTCTAGGCAAGAGTATAGTATTATATTTTTAAAGTGTCTCTTTGTGGTTAAGCAAGTATTATAGTAGGGTTTCAGTAATGAAAATAAAAATATTTCAGCTTTTCTCTCAGGTTGTATTACGTTCGCATTAAAAACCACGAAAATAATTGGTAAATAAAATAAGAAAGTAATATTTTAATAATTCTGAATCCTTCGATTAGTAACTATACCCACCTTCGACCTGCTGTACCCTAATGGTCACGGGTTCCCGCTAGGAACTGAAGGGAGTACTGGACAGACAGCTGTTTCGTCAGCCTAGTTTGGGACCCACTGGGATTCAAACTCGGGTTTTCCAGTGATTCTCTAACTGATGTCAGCTCATGATGAAATCCTCCAACCAATCAAATAAAATCCCTAAAAAACCAACACTTGAAGATTGACATGACGCCCACTAGCGACTGGTCCTATTCAAGGAGATAGTTACCTGGCTTCTAGTGGAAAGTCATGACCAGTACGGTATGGCAGGTCGGGTGTGAGGACAAATGCTTACCGAAGATATTGGCCAGTGGTCGCCCTATGTCGTGAATTGGCAGAAGTTAGAATTCATGGGCTGACTATTGGATCGGGTCCCAGTGGCTTAATGGTCTACGAGCTCGCTAGCCTTGAAAGCAGAATATCCTGGGTTTGAACCGTGGTGTTGGATGCGTAGTGCTGAAGAGTCCCGAACTAGGCTAACGGAACGGCTGTACAGTGCTCCCAGCTTGTTTTCCAGTGGTTCTCTAACTAATGTCAGTCGATGATGAAATCCTCCAACCAATCAAACAGAATTGGTTCTGAATTATGTCTAATATTATCAAACTTGTTTAACAGTTTCCTAAATTATTTAGATTATATCATAAGATGGTTAAGAAATGTTGTCTTGAACCAATGCTTATCAGTTTAGATGCATCTATGTAGTTTGAAAGTTGACATGAGATATTTTCTCTGATTATCTTGTTATAGAAAACAATACTGATAAGTGTATGCAACGTTATTTATTTAGGCAAGTTGTAGCCAGTTTTGATATGACTTTCTTTCATTTCATTCTTTCTTGACGTTTCCAGTGGAACATAGGGGGCTTCAAGCTTGACCTGTAAAGTCTCAATAACACTGGGGTTTACTTTTTACGGGGTGGAGTTGCTAGCCTCACGCCTAACCTTCCCTCTTCACCGGGCTTACTACCGGATAAACGAGGTTAAGGAGTGTATTGGTCGGCGATAGAACCTCAGACCATCTGGCTGGTATTCTACCACTGAACCTCCGATGCTAGGAATTAAATCCGCAGCGAGTTGCTCTCAGATTACTATGGTTGTTATTGGTGTATATAGGAATTCTGCCGACTATCGTATTATATTTCAATAGAACAAATAAAATTTCATTGACAGTCTAATCATTAAATTGAAGAAGATGAATTAATTCAACATTCCTGAGTTTTAAGAATTTTACAGTAACACAAATTTTACTAACTTACCTTTACATTTCAAGTCTGGATAACCAATCCATACAAAACCTTCTGGACATACGCATATATAACTGCCTTGAGTATTAACACAACGTGCTCTTGAATCAGGACATGATTCAGCCGGTGTAAATATTGCGCATTCATCAACATCTTAAGTGAATTAAAACAAAATGGGCAGAAAATAATCAGAAGATGATCAACAATAAGTGATATGAAACAACAACGTTTTAGTGGAATAGCTTTCAAGTTATTTGTCAGTGTACACAGTAGTGGAGTACTAAAATGGAAGAGAAGTCGCATTCACTGCTTTTTAATTTATAATTCTTGTAGCTCTACAATGAGTTTTATCTTATGGCTAATAATAATATTTTAGCTATTCTGTTAAGACTGCAGAGAAGAGAGTAAAGTGGAGATGTGCTGCTGAAGCCTTATGTTCCAGTCGGTGTAACAATTATAATCAGTTTGAAGAACAGTGCGTCCTATAACTCTATTTTAAAGAAAAAAGAATTAAATACAAAAGACAGAGATTCGAAACAAGTTAACTTTCACTTGAGTGTGATATTAGGCACCAAGTTTAATTTATACTAAGATTTGAAGCCATTTACAGTAGGACTTGGATAAGTGACTTCGACCGGTGATACCAAATTTTAATTCATGAACAGTAGATGTATATACGGGGTTAAACTCACGACTTAGAAGTTCGAAAACCAATTTATTATTATATACTTATTGGGTTGAAGGTCAAGATTCGGTTTCTGAACTCCAATGATCACTGACATCCATAATGGGCGAGTCTCTCTACTGATTATTGATCCCGACGATCGTGTGAGGGAATTACATGTGATAAATGTTGATTAGTGATGGGGTTGTGTTCTCTGAGCTGGATAGTTTATTTGCGAAGCTTTCATCGCCCTACTAGGCGACATCTTCAGCGATGAAAGCTTCGCAAATACACTATCCGGCTCAGAGAACACAACCACATCAAAATCATCCACCTGAGCTACAAATATTCTCCGTCATATGTTGATTATTCACAAGCATTGTAACAGATGAGAAAGATTTTTATCTCATATTAGATGACATTTTGCTGATTTCTTCGCATTCTCTAATTTCTGTTTTAGTCTTCTCTGTTATTCGTCATTGCTTTAGCATTTTCAGTTTACTAAACTATAATTTTGATACCATTCTGAGCATCGGATTTCAAAGTGTAATTCATTGCAAACTGCGAAACGTGAGTGAATAGCTAAAAAAGGCAAGCATACAGTTGCTTTTTCATTTTAGTTAGAAAAGCCATTGCCGTTAGACTTTGAATCAGTTGCGTTACTGTTTAGCTACTGGACAGGAATGCCATAATATTCAGAATTTAAGCAACTGCCATTCAGTGTCATCGACGAGTAACTTTCCCCACACTACATTCAGTGGACTACTTTGACGACAAATTTTCATTAGAACTATGAGATCTACCTCTTGAAGTTCGGTGCTCTGTCTCTCTCTACACATTCCAAAAACAGGAGAATAGAGCTGTTCGGTGATCCTTGGTTTTTATTCGCCAGCTGGCTGACACTAGCATGTAATGAGGTGGTTCTTTCTTAGACAGTATCATAGCAAGCGTTTATTACATTCATATATAAGCTTTTATGGTGTTGAAAGTGGAAAGTTTATCAAAAAACTAAAGTGCATATTCAGATACATATTAAGTTCATAACTAAGGTTCTAAGTCAGCGAAAATGTTGAATGACTCAATCGTTTAAATTAAAGGCGAATATATCATCGAATGTATGCTTAGTATTTAAAGACAGAAATCTGTCCTCACAGGTATTCACATCATCACGTAATAGTTTTTAAAAACAATCAGTAAAATCTATTTAAACTTACAACTTACCTACACAGTCGGTTTCATTGATATTTTTATAACCATGCTTGCATATACACTGATATGAACCAATAGTATTTTTACAGAATGCATGCGCTCCACAGTTTCCTGAATTTAATTCACATTCGTTAATATCTAAAATGAAATAATACCAGACAGTGTAGACAAAAGTAGACAAACTCAAACTTTGAGCAGTAAATCTCACCAGTGGGAACTACTCAAGCTTTCGATCAAGTATTTCATAGATCTATTTGATTTAATCACATTTGTTTTGCACAGATAGTGTAGATGTCCTCAGTGGATTGAATTACATTTCGTTAAACTATCAACATGCCTCCAAAAACAAAATATATTATTATGTAATACATGTGTAAAACTTGGGCACTGTGATAGTAAGTAATTCCACATTATCAAGTATTGGTTTGGTAGGGATTTTGTGTAATCGCATGGAGGATTTCACCATTGACACTTGAGTTTTATAGTTAAAGAAAACTATAAAACTCAACTGTCAAAGTCGTGTGATCACAATTGATATGATTATGAACAATAAATTTTGTTCGAAACGTTATCCAGTAAATAATACTGTTTCACTGTGTGATATACCTAGTAAGCAAACTAATATTAATCTGTAATATATTGTTCCCTTTAATTCCTAGAGAAACATAGAGCTTCAGCCTCACATCTCCATTGCGTTCGGTTCTCCAACAACGTTTTAACTTGGCTCCTCGTCTGCCAACATGCTTTCATCTCTTCTTCACATGACCACCCCATGTCACACTCGCACTGATGACCAACTGACTCACCACTTCCCATTCGGGTTCCACTCACGAAAGAGAGAGAGAGCCTGTCGTGTGATGTCACTCACTTGATGGTGGTTTGTTTTCTGAGAGTATGGTCAATCCAATCCACCTTCATTCACCCCTGTATATTTGTTGCACAATTGGTTCCTGTTGGGTTGGTTCGCTCATTGTCAGAGATCCATCCCTGTTGCTGATCTTCTCTGCTGGCCGGCCATCTCATCTTCAGCAGTATTGAGTGGAGACAGGTGTTGATGAAGGTGTGTAGTTTGTTCGAAGTGGTTTTCGTAACGCAGCGCGGTGCGAAGTCTCTGATCCGTATAGTGAATAGCACTAACTTCACATTGGAGTTGGAAATCCGGATGTTATTTTCATTTTCGCGCTGAAAAGTGCTGTTTATCTGCATACAGACTTGAGAGTAATGATAACTTGCCTTGCTTTCCCAACCCTCTCTGCTTTGATATCCTCCTCAGTTCCGTCCACCTCTAGTTGAAACGATCCTTCCCAAGTAGGTAGGTAGGTAGGTAGGTGAAGGAGGTTGCCTCTTTCAGAATTCTCCCATTCATGTTGGCTGATTGTTGTTTGTTGTTGTTGTTGTTGTGTCTGTTGCTGTTGGCCAGGAATCTTCATCACCTCTGTTTACTCTAAGATCGCCTAAAATCCCATCTCCTCTGGATGCTTGTTCTTCCAACTTGTTGCTTTTCACTTGCGTATCTCCAAGTTTGTGAGAAATCAGACATATATTATCAGCGAAATCCAGATCTTCCAAGTATTTTGTATGGGTCCATTTTATACCTGTCTCCTCATTACCCGCTAACTGTCTGTCGCATTATTCAGTCCACCGCAATCAGGAAAATCATTGGAGATAGTAGGTAGCTAGCCGGCCAGCTTGTCTTGACTTCAAAGGATTCCGTCAGTTTGAATACATACTGGAATAATGTGTAGAAAGGAAAGAAGTAGCCTTTACGTTGTCTATTCTGAGTCGTATCACCTGGCATACAAGACCTTGAGTCATCTTTATTTACTTTGGATAGTATATTTGAAGGACGGAGATTATCTGAAAAAATGTGATGTGATATATTTGCACAATACATTTCGAACAATCTGATTCCTCTCACATTTACTTGTCAGGTCAATTTGCATGAAAAATGAAGGTTAATTAAAATACACAAAGTGACAAAAGGGATTTAATAATAATAAGAATAATTAACACTATGTTTGGTTGTCTAATCAGATAGGGATTACCAACGAATTAAGAATTAAGAAACTGTTTTGCACACTCTGTGGAGGAGGGTTTAAGTTTAACAATAGCTATCGCCTCAGCGTATTTCAATAAGTGCCTCTGACCTTTGTTAAAAATAACCTTAAAAGCTGTTTTGACATCGGTATTGTGGATCACATTTATTAAATGTTTAGCTATAGACGAAGTTGGTACACGGCCACCTGAGTCTATCGACTTTCCAAAGTTCATCTGTTTTTCTAAACATTTCGGAATATACCCTCCCATTCTCACGTGCAAAGTGCAATTATTCCTGTCTATGTATGTGTCCACACACATACACACGTAAATCGGTATATAGTGTTGGACTGAGGTTTGCTGTGGAGCATATTTTTGGCTCTTTCAATAATTATAAGGTGGACTGCATAACAGGTTCTACGGATGACTAAGTTTAGTCTCTGTTTTAAAATCTTACTATTCACTTCCCCATTGTATGGTAATTTACTAGATTAGATTGTAGGTTTCAAAACTAGCTGACTTCTACACCGATTTTTAACAAGATTATAAGTTTCCAGACCGTAGATGTTGCGTATTTTCTGGAATAATATGATTTCGATTTTATGTTAAACACGCTAAGATTATTTTTAATAATTTATGGTGACTTCTATAACGTTTTCAACAAGAGCATCCATCAGTATTTTATTTTCATCCACTGTTAACCAAGTTTGGTAATCCTTATCTGATTAGTTAACCAAACTTAGTGTTATTTATTCTTATTATTCTGAAATCCTTTTTTATCACTTTGTGTATTTTAATTAACCTTCATTTTTCATGCAAATTGACTTGACAAGTAAATGTGTGAGGGATCAGATTGTTCGAAATGTATTGTGCGAATACATCACATCACATTCTTCAGATAATCTTCGTCTTCTAATAACACTATCCAAGTTTATAACAGGGACTAATTGTTTTATTTTATTTTAGTCATTTTATGTTTTTGTATAAGTGTCAGATAATTAAGAGATAACGAAAGCAACTATTTTTGCTTTTTTTTTAAACTAGAATTTCAATGGAAAAACGAAACTTTCTGAAATTCTGAACAGTTGATTTATGTTGTAAGAAATTCACAATGAAAGCAGATAATTATTTCGTATTAAAAAAACTTTGTATTTAAAGTAACATTAATTTCCATCCATTAAAACGTAGCTTCTTTACTCTATTTCATGTTGCTTTATCTATCTAAGCGCCTCTCTGAATTGACATTTGCACTGACGTCTATTTTCAAATATTTTAAGTATTGCTTTTTGTAGGCATTTGATTGATTGGTTACAGGATTTCATCATCAGCTGAAATCAGTTAAAAAAACACTGGAAAACCTGCAGAGACAACTGGACAGCTGTTTCGTCAGCCTAGTTCGGGACTCTTCATCGATACGCACCCATCGATAGGGTTCGAAACTGGGACCTTCTGGTTACAAGGCAAGCTTGTAGACCATTAAGCCACTGGGAGTTAACCTACTGCTATGGATATTTTGAAGAGAACGTAGAGAAAGTGTAGCAGGTTATTGGAGCTTGCTTTGGATAGGACGATATTGCTTCAGATGCTAAACTACCGAACATTAACTTACTTGAAGATTCTTAACTCGTAGTAAGTATTTTGCAATAGAACATGCTGAAAGAATTCTGTAATGTGTATCAAAGCATTTATCAACAATAAAGTTATCATTATTATTATTAGTGTCATCTGTATTCGTTACTTTGTTGTATCTGTCATCAATTCAGTTGATTAAAAGCAATCGTATTCATAAATCCAAGTGTAAGTTGTGCTTAGATGATGAGTTCCCATCTTATCGATGTGAAAAATCGAAAAAATGAATAACACAAAATAAAGAGATCAGTAAACTTAGAATAGCAGTAAAAATCCATTTTTCGAGTATTATAGAGTATCTTTTCTTAAAATAATAATAATAATGGAAAATAATCACCTACCTTCACATCTAGAAAGCGGATATTTTCGCTTAAAACCTGATGGACATTCTTCTACACGTACACAACGATATCCACCAATATGATTCATACATGTACTGTCTTCAGTACAATTGTGTATATTTTCATGACATTCATCAATATCTGTAAAGAAGGAAATAGTTACTTCTATGATGTTTGAAACAAGTTAAATCAATATTTATGCATAGACTTATGCTGAAAAACAAATATCAACTTTAGGTATTGTTAAAAGAGGTTAATTAGACCGGATATTTGTTTTAGATCTTCAATCATGGATAAAGAACAAGCAAGAAACTCTGCTATTCTCTCATACATTGTAAATTTTAAGGAAGCGGAAAAATCAACTCTACATTTAAATTCAAATGAGATACAACAGTACTTCATAACTATGTTGAAACATAATGTAGAAGAAAACAAACAGTCACAGTAAAAACGGTGTGAACAGTTGGAATTTTTTTATTCCTTTACTTTCCCAGTGGAACAAAGAGGGCTTCAGGCTAGAGCTTTGAAGTTTCGATAGCAGTGGTGATTATTTTTATGACATGGGGTTGCTAGCCTCATTCCCAACTACCTCTCTTTACCAGTCTTATTACTTGCTGGCTTAGGGAGGTAAAGGAGGGCGTTGGCCGGGGATCGAACCCCGAACCACCTGCGTAGTTGACGAGCATTCTACCGTTGTGCCACCGACGCACAGTAGGAAGTTAACTTGTGTTAAACTAGTAAAGAGATGATGAATAACCTTAGTACATTATTCAGGGGAACATATTTTCATACTGGATTCCCATAGTTTCTAGCAATTTTTATTATTTTACAAACACACAGCATTTTCTATATGATAGTAGGGGGGCTATTGAAAGTAACGAAAGAAAACTGGTATGGTACACTGGTACATATTAGTAAGCATGCTGGATTGAAATATTCTGAAGTTACAGGAAGAAAATAAATAGAATATTTTAATTTTCAATAGCTATTCACAACATATAGTCTCGCAGTACAATCTCATTAAGGATTTTTATCACTCTAATGTACTTAGAATGAGTAACACATATAACTTCAGGATTTCGACAGTTCCTTAAAGTCAAGAATATTTTGTTAATAATAATCTTTCAGTTGAGTTTACAGTGCTTAGTAAAACCTTTTAGCTAACTAAGTGCTGATACCACATTATGTTCAACAAACTGTGTAGAATACCACACAAAAACTATGTATGTAAAGCACATAAAAGTATCGCGGAAACTGTTTCAGTGTCCAATGAATAGGAGAAAAGGAGGTACGTTGTCTCTTCACTACCACCCCTATTCTACGTTCGAGAAATAAGGATAAACTGCCTAAATTTTCCTACTGAATATGTATCTACCAGTCTGACTGCAGCTGCGGAGCCAGCTACGTCGGGCGTACAATTAGGCAGGTTCATCATCGTATTTTCGAACATCATCCAACATGGTTAAGCAAGGGACAAACAAAATCTATTTGTAGCTCCGTTTTAGCACACCTTGTAGATACTGAGCATAAGGTTGACGTTAATACAGCCTTTAAAATTATTTATCGCTTTACGAGTTCGTCTTCTACATACAGCTGAAGCAATAGGAATCCACCTGAAGAAGCCAAACCTGTGTGTTCAGAAGAAATCTGTACAGCCACTTTCCTTACCCTGGCCATCTTTAAATGAATATATTAACCGGACTACTTCGCCCCCTCCCCCTAAACCTTTAAAAATTGTAGAAAACGATATTGTTTTTACTGACATTTCAGTATTTAGTGCTTATGGTTTTATCAGCTTACATACAATAACTTAGCAATAGTTTTTGAGTATGAGGTAATTTTTTTGATGTTTTTCTCATTCATTGGAAAATACCAAAATATTTATAACAATGAATTTGAAATCCTATGATGAAATTGTTTTTCACACTATTAAATGTGGATTTATTTTGGAAATAAATCGGATGGGACATATTGAATTACCTTTCAAACATGAATATTGAAATATTTCGCAAAGTATAATATTTACAACATGCATAATGGAGATTTGTAGCTCAGGTGGATGATTTTGATGTAGTTGTGTTCTCTGAGTTGGATGGATGCAAACGAACCATCCAGCTCATAGAACACATCCACATCAAAAACAGCATGCATAAAATCGTGTTGTGTATACTCACCGACACATTCATTGCCTTGAACTCGATATCCTTTTTCACAAGTACATTTCCTTTCATGATAATCATATCTGGATATTCCAAAGCATTGAATGAAAATAAAATATTTTAATTAATAACTTGATTACTTATAAGTAGTAAAAATGTTAGTGAAGCACATTTTGTATGTAGTTGAACTATAGCAAATTAAAACCTTACATATATACATCTGTTTCTTTTTGTATACTTCAAGCCTTAAGAAAAATAACCCCTAATTATGATGGCTAAATCTACCAAAAAAACTTAATTCTCAGAGTGTGCCATTCTGAACAATGATCCAACTGAAACGAACCTCACGTGAGTTAACAGACATGTGAACGTAATTTTTTCGGTCAAATGAGCTAAAGAAAAAGACAGTGATAACGATGTGTGGAAAAATATTTAGCCTGAAAGGTGATACCATTAAATTCCAAGTTAAATGAGTATAACATAAAGTAACCAAGAGAAAACTTCATGGTTTATATATAATATCTAACCTAAGTGATGTAAAAAATAACCATTTTGTTTCACTACTAATATTCCCTTAGGTTCTGAGAGACATTTGGGCTTCAGCAGCCCATCTTTATTTCGCAGTGTTCTATGTGGCTTTTTTAGACGGCTTCACGACCGGCCATAAGCTTTCATTTTCTCCTCTGCAAAGTTCAACAATAGCGTCCGAAGGACGCTACCTTGAGTCGACTAATAATAAAAATAAGTGACTTTTGCACAAAAAATGACGTATATTTACTAGAAAATGCATGACTTAAGAATACGTCTCAGTTATAATGAGGAGTATCAGTTGCTAAGTTAGACTAGTTCCTGTACATGTATTCACCGAGGTGACTAAAGATGAGCTGTTTTTCTGAATTGTTTATCTCTCTTATCCTGTTGTGTAGTCTTCCCCAAAGCTCTCGGCTTAATTACTATAGTTCACAGTAAGAGGATCGACGACCACTTACCAGGAAAATGTGGAATATAAAACAAATTAAAATAAATGACATCAGCTCTAAATGTATCCCTAATCGTAATAACCCTAACCTCAGACTTAACAGTAAACCTATTTACAACCCTTATCCTAACCGTAAACTTAACCCTAATCTTAATTATGGCTTTAATCCTAACCCTGAGGAGCTATTAACACATTGTCCAAACACTACTTAAAATCGTAATCTGAGCGAAATTCTCTTCTTAGTCGGTGAATAACGTTGATATTTCAGTTATGGTAATGACAGGTGCCGTCAGCCAACGACTAGCATGCGTTCAAGGTCATTGGAGCGTTCGCACTCCTAGGACGCTATTGTTGAACTTCACCTCTTCCTCACACGATCTCATCTCTGTCACTTTGGGACGTCCAACCCGTTGCTTCGCATTTGGGTGCTACTCAAGGGTATACCCGGCGCGTGATTCCACTCAGCAGTTTCCTTAATGTTTGCTTTCTCTCCTAATTTCCTAGAATTCTCATGGATAACTCCAGTTTATGACAAAGAATACATGCAGTCTATCATACTAGATTTAACAAGCAAAGCAACTTGCAATTAGTAGTCGAAATTGCATGTGAAATAAAGAGTGTGAACTTACATTTGGCTTGCAGTACAATTCGATTCTGTGCAGTAATATGAGCCCATAGTGTTGACACATACTTTTCCATCGTCACAATGATAACTTTTCTCCAAACATTCATCAATATCTAGGAGTTACAAAAGTTATTAAATAATTTCATAATACTTATAATTATTAAAACTGGAACAGGATATCCGTAGAACATGCATAACTATATCAAATAACTAGTTTCACTTAGTTTAAACCGACACGCTTACCATAAAATTTGTTTTATTCAAAATTATTTATTATTATAATACATGCATTGAAGTTTGAAAGCAGGTAACTTCCACTGGGACTGTGCATTTAATACACGAATATTCTACGTTATTTCCCAAAATCACTCTCTGCTTTAAAATATCACACACGATTTGTTTAATACGTCAGTTGGTCATTTTACAGACACTGTTCATGCCTTTACTTATGGTCTGTCAGCCTGAAATAACAGTGTTAACGTCTTGTCTTCACTATAATGCACAGAGTTTTACGGTTTTACTCTTCCTTGTCGACTTCAGGCATTGAAGGTGTCACAAACTTACCAATGATGTTGCTCTGATGAAAATAGGAAGGTGTGACAATAACGACGAAATGAGTGGTTACATTACTGTCTATCTGTTCAACACTCATTTCGTAAAATTTGTTAGAAGTCACAGAAATACAATTCTGAAAATAAGAAAGCCACTTAGTGAATAAGTTACCTATTTCTTTTGATATTCTAATTTCCAAAATGATTACTGGATCATAAACATAAATATATGAAGAAGCAAATATGCTGACAATGTAAACTGGTATTAGATGGTTGAAGGTAATCGGCAGGAAGCCTTGGACTTAAGTTTCGTACTAGTTGGCACTCATCAGTCAGCAAGGCGTACCTGCAACCCTAAAAACACTCACTTCCCTTCTGAGGTTCGAACCAACCTCACCTAGTGCCGCCTGAAGTCACAGACGTTACCGCTGAGCTTTTCGGCCTCGCGATTCACCTCCTGTAGAACTGTATTGGGTACTTTTGACTGGACATTAGTCAGTAATTAGTGTAATGTGTGTGTATCTAGTCTTATCTTTGGTGCAGACTGAATTCTATCAGTCAGGTTTGCATTGCGGCCACCATGCTGATCGGCTCATCATCAAGGTGTACTGTGAATTGCCTCCAACCAACTAATACCAACAATTCACAGTACACCGTGATGGCAAATTTACAGTAATAAGGATTCGCTTTATTCAGTTTAACTTTCCATGGAATACATGAATTATATGTTGACAGCTGTATTCATTGATATAGTAAGCAGAATAATTAGATGAATAATGATTAGCTTTTCAATATTTATGTAATAATCTAACTAGCGTGAACATACTACTAGACTTTATATTTACCTATTTACTAATCGCCAAGGAAATCTCTCCCTTTCGTGACTTCTCTTCAAATCTGTACTGCCATTTAGAGTTTTTACATATGCAGTATAGACTGGCAACAAAAATCAAAGGTTATTGTCAGTTAGTAATAAAGCAAACCAAGATGGATGAGTAATAATTACATTTTGAAAGTTAGGAGTAGACCTAAGTAATCAAGAGGGTTGACGACTAATTAGTTGAGTGATGTACAGTCGTTTAGAAATAGATGGTAAAAGAAAAAAGAACAATAGACTGAAAATGAGACACGAAAACATAAAACGGACTACATAGAGCTTATTATGCACGTATTCAGGAAGACAAAGAAGGAAGAAAACAAAGAAAAAGGAAGACAAATAGTACTAAGGCCATGGTAGTAAAAGAGGCTGGATGAAACGTTTAGGAACACAAAGTTCAGATTTCTCCTAAAAGAATGCTAAAGATTCAACTGCATGAAGAATTATTATATTATATTATTGTTTCCTTTAGTTCCTAGAGGAATATGGGGTTTCAGACAAATGTTTCAATTGAGTTCGGTTCTCTACCAACGTTTTCACCTGGCTACACGTCTGCTCGCATGCTCTCATCTCCTCTTCACATAACCACCTCCCCGATGTCATACTCACACTGACTACCAACTAACTCTCCGCTTCCCATTCGGGTTCCACTCGAGTGATGGCCTGGCATGTGATGTCACTTGATGGCTTGCTGTCTCAGAGTATGGCCAATCAAATCCACCTCCATTCACTCCTGCATATTTGTTGCACAATTGGTTCCTGCAGAGTTGGTTCACTCATTGCCGGAGATTCATCCCTGTTGATGATTTCTGCTGACCGGCCACCTGATCTTGAGTATTATTGAGGGAAGACAGGTGTTGATGAAGGTGTGTAGTTTGTTCGAAGTGGTTTTCGTGACTCGGTGTGGTGCCAAGTCTCTGATCCGTATAGTGAGTAGCACTGACTTCACATTGGAGTTACATGAACAAGGTGTAGGCGAAATCCTTACGAACGACTTGGTCGTACTTTATATATGACTTTGAAAGAAGTCTTTTCTGATATTGCATCATCAGAAGTAATAATATGCTCCAGAATTGAACTGTTGACAGTTGTACTTTTGCCTTTTGACAATCATGCTGGTAAGTGTTCATCCGCACGTCTAGACAATCTCCTGCTGGTACGCCCTATGTAGTTAGCTCCACAGGTGAATTGGTAAATACACAATGAAGTTACTATCTGACAGCAACGTTTGATCTCCGTTATCAGTCTCCCTGGCATATATATAAACAACCTAAGTTACTCTACAGCTTTGAAGTCAAATTACGGAAAGAGATCTTTATCCTGACTCATATGTTCTTAATTTATGTGAAATGGGAATTTTCCATACTTACTAGTCATTAAGGTGAGAATAATATTTGAAATAATATCATTAAACAGAAGCTACAAATAGTGACTAAATGTCATTGCTTAAACATTGACTATTGAATTCTCTCATTACACTTTGTTTAAACTGATGAAAACATTCTTGTATAAAGTGTGTGTGTAGAACACAAAAGTATTAATTTTGAGAATATAACAAAGAGGTAATATTTTTTTAATTTTTTCACATAACCTACCTATGCATTCGGTACCAGCTTCATTGATTCGTGTACCATGAGCACAGTTAATTTTTGCTTCGCATAGGAAGAAACCACGTTCATTTACACACTTCTCCCATGATCTACATTTATTTGGTTGTAGACATTCATTAATATCTAAAAATAAATTAGTAAAGTATAAGCTACATAGAACAGGTGCAGTATGTTTTTTTGTTTTTTTAAAAAGAACAACATAATATCTGCTAAAAATGGTTCATCTGATAAAAAATCACACCGATTTTCAAATGAAAAATTTCTTGAATAACAAGTTATGCTGCTATGAATTCTTTGTTGTGAACAGAATAAATACAAGTTATTGATTACTTTTTAGTTACTGAGTTTTTAGTGTAGAAGCTGGAAACCAATTTACTCATGTTATGAAGAGGATTTGAATTCCTAACTGTAGTTATGAAGATATCATTTGAAGTGTTTCTATAATTATTTCTAGTAAAACTCATGATCATTGTAACTGACACGGTTTAGTAGAATATGTCACCATTTCAAGCGAGTCAACTGTAATTACAAATTTGAATATTCACAGTACCAGTTAAACGAAAGTTATTTTTCATTACAGACAGTGAAGAACTGCTAACAAGTATATTGACAGAAGCCACAGTTTGCATATTATTTAAATCAACTCAGAGGAATTATAAAAAGACAAATTTACTGAACGAATTTCCTCAATTTAAAGATCAGCCGACTTATTTTACCAACATACATGAAAGTTCCATACATTTATTCCCCGTTAATGAATTTGAATAAATCAAGAACAACAGTTTTTTTTCAGAATAAAATGGTACCATCATTGCTTATTTCGTTGGCTTCTCATCAGCTGCTTACAGGCCAAAGTCATTATTAAGTATATCTACAGAAACGATTTTAACATACTTGCACAGAGTTCTTTTTTAAACAAAAATCAATCAATCAGTACATGCATACAATAATAATATATATAATAATAAGCGCTTTATCACGAACAATAATAATTATACACAATGGAGACTTCTGACATTACGTAATCAGATGAAAGAGAGGTGATAATATCCAGTTACTAGGGCAAAGAAAGACTGATAACTGCTTCTTTCTGAACGCATAAATCAGGTTTCAGAAGTTTGATGGAGATAGCATCGGCAAACTTGCGGAGAACTGAACTCTTTTGCCTATTGATAATTTCGAATGATCTTCCGACGTCAAGTTGATGACCCGTGTCAAGGATATGCTTGGAGATGGCACTGTTTAAGGCATTTTTTCCCTTTAGACATAGGCTTTTTAGTACACATTGAGAAAATCCTAGGTATGCTCTTCTTTCTGTTCTTCCAGTGTAACTTCTCCAGCAGATTTATGCGTTCAGAAAGAAGCGATTATCAGTCTTTTCTTGCCCTGATAACTAAATATTTTTACTCTCTCTTTCATCTGATTACGTAAAGTCGAAAGTTTCCATTGTGTATGATCACTATTGTTTGTTAGTATTGTATGCATATATTGATCGATTGATTTTTGTTTAAAAATGAACTCTGTGCAAGTATGTTAAAATTGTTTCTGTAGATATACTTAATAATGACTTTGGCCTGTAAGCAGCTGATGAGAAGCCAACGAAATAAGCAATGATGGTACCATTTTATTCTGCAAAAACTATTGTTCTTGCTTTATTCAAGTACATGGAAGTAACGAACAATAATCTTTTATTCAGTATTCAGACATCTAGAATTTAACAAACTTGAGCAAAGAATATCCTTTTCGACAATTTCCTCTTCTGGTTCTACAATTATATATATATATATTTATATACATAGAATATTCTAGAATGGTCGTCATTAACAATAATATCGATTTGTTAATTGAGGACCATTAGAACCTTGATGGCCAATGTAAGGATAATGTCTGAACTAGCTTCTTTTGGACGCACAAATTAGGCTTCTTAGTGTGGATCCCAACGGCCTCAATATATTTTGATTTTTCCATAGAATATTTAGGGCTTCTCTATGTTTTTTGGTCAAAATACTATCTTAGTTGCGTTTACTATTCTACATAATTAAAGCAACAATCGACCAGAGTTGACTTAAGTCTTTCAACAGCTTCAGATGATGAGGGTATTAGGCCTTCGCTTTGAGTGTAGAGACTTTCAAACTGAACTTGTACATCCATTTCATTAATTCTAACATGATTATCACAAAATTTAGGGCCAGGCGATTATTTTAAGTTCATGAAGCCATCTTAAAAGGAAATGATGCACAGAATAATTATACATACATAGCATATTTTATGGTGAAAATACTGAAGCTTCCATGCTCTTTGATTCAACAGCATGTACATATATATCATATAGCTAATTAATCCGTAGAAAAGCCTCGATGACTTCATCTATTTAGTTCTTTTAATTATCTTTCAGTTTTTACCTTTAATTAACTACCTTTTATATGACTAACAATAAACACTAGCAACTAGGATAAGACGAAACGCTTGGACATAAATCCCGATTATTATCAGAAATCGTATTATTATTATTATTATCATCATCATTATTTTCATAATGGGAATACGCATCCCTATTTCCCATTTCTTTGCATGTTATAAGGAAGCTTTTGAATTCACAGAATTACCGGTATACTTTTATCCGATTTTATTTATCTGTAGTTAAAAATAATTACACAAGTAATAAAACGATTCCTTTTATTGGCTACAAAATGTACTAATAAAGGTCATTAGCAAATTACCACGAATAACATGAATCGATGCGTGAAAGGTCTATTTAGAAATGGGAAAAAAGTGTGTAGGTCGGGTGGAGAATATTTGCAAATTGGACGAAGTTTTGTAGAAAATTATTTTCTCTCTGTTTTTTTTTTAAAATTTCATTGACAAAGTTTCTGATATCATTGCTCGGATTATCACCAGTGCAACCGTAGAAATAGACAGTGTTTCTAAATTTGACCTAAAAGACATATTGCATTGATATTTGATGAGATTACTGTCGAGATTCAGTATTCTTTGCTGATTTATGAACGTCCATTCCTAGTCTGGATTATAGTGACATCGTTTTACATTAAAAATTGAGGTTTATTTGCTTAAATGCTATTTTTTGTGTCAACTTTAAATCCGCCGTCTAAGGATTGAAGCGTTCAGCTTAACGGGTATCCTTTTCTTATTTTAGCTTTGTCATACAAGCAAATATTAGTTTCATTTGATAAATTTAAAACGGTAACTTGGTTTAATTTGAATGTTGAGTGATGATGGTTTAAATTAAGGAAAGTGTAATCTAGTAGGATTTCAAAAAATACCAGCTTCTAACATTTTGTACTAACGATCAAACAAAATTGAATTCTCGGATCAGACCAGGATTCCTTTCAAACAGGGAAGAGATTTATTTGGTTTTCATGAGAATATGTGCTGGGTTTCTGTCTGATTATCAGTACTATCGAAAAATCAGTTGCTTAATAGCTGACTTTTAAATTTTAGCAGGCTGTTTAATTGAATTTTAGATTTTCCCCCGTCGATTGATTGGACCGAAGTGCTCGGTCTCAGGTTGACATGTCGGCTTCCACTGCAGATGCTTCGACGATGTCTGGGCATGTAATTAGAAATTAATTGGTGGATGATGACTAGCAGCGATATCCAGGATGCGCATTTCGTCTTATTTGCGAGTCGTCAGCTGGAAACTGTGTGCAGTGGGTTTGAGCCTCAGTGGGAACATCATCACTTACTGTGGAATGCAGTTATATCCGGCTGACGAGTCCCAAATACGACGAAATGCGCATCCTGGATATCACTGCTAGTCACCATCCACCAATTAAATTCTAATTATGTAGTTAAGTATGAGAAGATCAAGATTTGGTATGCAAAAGATCAAATGAAAAGGTGGTGATGTAAGATACAATGAGTACAACTCATAAGGTTCAAGAAAAATTATCTCTTATGTAAGTCAAACAGAAAATAAACTAGACTTGGTGCGGGTGGCTTTGAAAAGATAGGTTAATGAAACTGGAAAACAGAGAGTTATCAAGTGATGATTCACCAGGAAAATTGTTGAAGTCCAACGACAGATTCCTTTTGAGCACATAGGTCAGGTTTCAGTCGTTTTATTGCGATAGCCTCAACAAACTGAAGAAGACTTGAGCTATTCTTGTCCGTTAATTATTTCAAATGATGCCAGACATTATAAGTGCGTAAGACACAGCATTACGACCCAACTGGTCCTAGTTGACACATCTCAAATCGAAGGGTAACTCAAAGAAAGACAAATAAATGAAAGTGATATAATTCAGTAGTGTCATGGAATGCTGAGTGCGTCAGTGGCACAGCGGTAGAATGCTAACCAACCACGCCACACGTGGTTTGGGCTTCAATCCCCGGCCAACGCACTCCTTTACCTCGCTATACCGGTAATAAAACTAGTAAAGAGGAAAGGTTGGGCATAGGGCTAGCAATTCCATCCCGTGAAAATAAAACCGCTGCCACCGAAACTGTAAAGCTCTAGCTTGAAGCCCTATGTTCCACTAGAAACGTGGAGGAATAAAAAAAGATTTTAAAAATAATACTTTCTTACTCTATCCAACCTGACCCTAATTCATTTCCACTTCAATCTTGTACTAGCATTCGGAAACAATCATTCAACATTCTGCAATCCCTTTTACTCCTTATTCTTACTCAACTTTCTAGTGTTTCTGAACAGCAACAACTGCAAAAACAATAAAAGTCCTGAAATCGTTGATTCTGCCTAATCAATAATTTCCTTTATAGCAAAAATATTCATTCAGACATCTATAAAACACAAAATAATTGAGCAAAGAATATCCTTTTCGATAAATTCCTCTTCTGGCTCTACAATTATAAATATGTTTATATACATAGAATATTCTAGATTAGTAGAAGAAGCTGTAAGAGTTTGATTAACCATTTAGCTACAGGATGGTATGGTGAATTTAACATATCTAATACTCTTCGAAGCGGCACACCATTTTTGTGCACTTTAGGCGAGCCATATAGTCTTGGTGTGAACATTACAGTGAGTTTAAGTGATGTATACTGACTCTGTGAGATAAAGCCTTGTTGTTTCAGTCTTCCCAATGTTTCCGCTAACTGTTTCTCTATTTTTTCAATCGGATCCAGAGAAAGGGAGATTTGTTGGAATTTTAGATTATCATTAAGAATATTATTCATCTTCTGAAAGTGATCAGCTTTGTTCATGATAACCACTCCTGAGCCCTTATCCGGTTTTGTTATTATTATGTTATCATTTTTACGGAGAACATCCAGAGCTTCTCTATGTTTTTTGGTCAAAATACTATCCGAATTGCGTTTACTATTCATGTAATAATAGCAACAATCGACCAGTGTTGATTTAAGTCTTTCAACATCTTCAGTTGATGAGGGTGTTAGGCCTTCCGTTTGAGTGTAGAGACTTTCAGACTGAATTTGTGCATCCATTTTGTTCATTTTTACATGGCTATCACAAAATTTAGGACCAAGCGATAAAACCTGTAGATCCACTTCACTAAGTATTACATTCGAAAAATTATACACAAAAAGATTCAGATTCTTTTTATCTGTACCGTTTTCCTGTTTTATAGTCACCAATGGATTATGTCTTAATTAATTAATTAATTATCAATGCATAAAGTCGCCTTTACTTCCATTCAAACTGTAATGTCTTCACAAACAGTTGATAAAAGGCAAAGCGAAATATAGTGCGGTAAATTAATTGTATATTACTTGATTGGTCATTCTTGTTTAAATAAAATTTACAAAGGTGTAGAACACATCATTTCTGGCTTTTAATTATTCACAGTTACACATACAATTGTATTACAAAAAGTTGTTTCTTTGTTGTTTCTCACACAAAATAATTTAAAACATCTTGATACGATTAAGTTGAATCGTTATTACGGTAAAATAATTTATAATCCAGTGTTAAGAAAAGATTTGACTGTTTTTTCTCCTAGTGTTATTCTGTCTATAGGTTTAAAGATGTTTTATTAGTTTTGATAGACAACTAAAAATAGTTGTTTTATCAAATGTGAATTTCAGCGGTTTCTACTTAAATCTAGGCTAGTAGCATTTTATTTGCTTCTTGTAGTAGAATAACACAGAAGTAGTAGTAGTACAGTAGCTGTACAAATCACTTCCAAAACACTGTACATGCATATTGACAGTTATAACACGTAAATATGTTCATAAATTGCCAGTTGGTCAAAAAATTAATTTTGATCGGATGAAGGATTTCATCATGAGCTGACATTAGTTAGGGAACCATTGGAAAACCACCACGGGAGTACCGGACAGCTGTTTCGTCCTAGTTTGGGACTCTTTAGCAGTACGCACCCACCCAGAAGGTCCTGGGTTCGAACCCGGCGGGCGCATACTGCGTGGGAAGTGTCTCAAACTAGGACGAAACAGCTGTTCAGTACTTCTTTGAGGTTTTCTAATGGTTCTCTAAGTGGTGTCAGCTCATGATGAAATCCTCCATACGATCAAACAAAATCCCTACAAAACCAATACTTAAAAAATTAGTTTTAATATGAATGAATAGGCTACCATCTCTAAATTGAAGTCAGTTTCGCATAAAATTCAAAAAGTTGTGGAAAAGATAAGAAAATCATTCATAGTGATTGGATTACTGATCTAAAATATGGGAATAATGATCGTTACAACAACAAAACAAATCAGGATATTGAAAAATTACTATCGCGGTAGAATAAAACAGTGAATGTATTTTGTTGGGGAATACGAATCAAACTGGAACTGATGAGTGGTCAAATTTACTACCATTTTCATGTGTTCACTTTGCACCTCTTTTAAAATGTATATTTTTTAAGTGACTATTACTGGAAATTCTAGCCAACTGAAATGGCCAAAGTTAGCTAGATATTAAAGAGTGAAACTACCCAAACTATTTGGTCCGTTCCCTGGACAACGAAGTGTTATAGCTTTTTGGAGATGTGTTCAGGTTGGACAGTCTTTGTTTGATCGATTCAACTAATTTCATAAAAACAGATGAATTGTTAAGCAGTTGACTGATGTCCCTATAAGTAAATGTTTTTTTTTTGATAACTGTGAGTTGACCTGGTAGCATTTTAAGGACATTTTTTACTTTTATAAACTATATGTACGAATCTACAGCATTCGAAAATGACTTGTCAAAAATAAAAACTTCCTTTCATTGCAGCTCAGCTTTGGTTGCATAACAGATCATATGCACATACAACACATGCAGACACGATAGTAATATTAAACGGGAATGAAATTTCCTATTAGGAGGGTACTTTTTGTTAGGATTGTTTCGGTTAGGTGTTTTTGAAACACTATCGTTATTATTTTTTGAGTGGAGCACAGGGTTGCAGCATCATATCTCCACTGTATGTCATTCTCTAGCGTCATTTTCATCTGACTTAATGACCATCCATAAGATTCCATCTCTTCTTCACATGATCTCCTCTATGTCATCCTTGGACACTCGAATCGTAGCCTTCTATGTGGGCACCAATGAAGAACCTGACTTGAGATATAACTTGATGGTTTCCTCAGTGTATTGCCAAATCTGTATCCATTTCTTTCGGCATATTTGTTGGGTTTCTTGTTTGGATCACCGCTAGATTTCCGTGTTACGCTATCCTTTCGGTTGGTTATCTATCTTTATTATGAAGTGAAGGCAGCTGCTAATGAAAGCTTAGAGCAGGCTACTGAAAATGCTTATAATGACCCGCTAAATTTATGGACTATATATTATGATTGTGAGTACAATTTGCTGTTGGTCGGGGGTTTTCCATAAGTGTGTGAACAAACCTGCTCTACCTTGTCGACTACTAGTTTGAAAGTGTCCCTCTATTTTTGGCTAAATTTTTCTCTTAAGTTCCAGATAACTCAATGAAATTAATATAAACGTCTTATATTTTGCGTCTTTTGTCTTAATTTGCCTTCTTATGATTGATTGGCTGTATAGATTTCGCCAAATATTGACGATATTGACTTCAGAGTAACAGTCAACCATGACCAGATGGAATCCCAGCAGAAGCATTGAAAATGGACCCAGAGACAACAACGGACTTGATGACGCCACTACTGGAGAAGGTGTGGAAAGAAAGCAAGGTACCCGAGGATCGGAAGAAAGGACACTTGTTCAAGCTGCCAAAGAAAGGAGACTTAAGCCAATGCAAGAACTGGTGCGGAATTATGCTCCTGTCCATCCCAAGCAAAATACTAAGCCGCATCATCCTGGAGAGAATCAAACAAGCCCTGGATGAAAAACTTCGACCAGAACAAGCTGGATTCAGGAGAAGTGCTACTATATGGATCAGAGACTTGGCGCGTCATAAAGAGCACCTCAAACAAACTACAGACCTTCATTAACAGTTGTCTTTGCTCAATACTACTCAAGATCAGATGGCTGGCCAGAAAAGACCAGCAACAGAGATCTCTGGCAATGAGCGAACCAACACAGCAGGAACCGATTGTGAAACAAATAAGCAGGAAGAAATGGAGATGGATTGGCCATACTTTGAGGAAACAATCCATCAAGTGACATCACTAGACAAGCCAGTGCTCGAGTGGAACCCGAATGGGAAGCGGCGAGTTGGTCGTCAGTGCAAGGGTGACTTGGAGGAGGTCATGTGAAGAGGAGATGAAAACATGTGGGCAGACATGGAGCCAGGTGAAGACTCTAGCAGAGAACCGAACTCAATGGAGACGCACAGATGAAGCCCTATGTTCCTCTAGGAATTAAAGGAAACAATAATAATAATAATAACAGTCAACTGGCTCAAATTGTTATTTTATTTCGATGGAAATTCATCATAGGCTTACTTGTGTAAGCAGCTGCTAGAAGTGCTTTTCAAGGTAGAGTTACAGGAAATGCTACACAAGATTTCACTACTCACACAGCGAATTTGAAGTTTTAATACTACTGATATCTGACCCCGATATTCACTTTTAAGCGAGTATATTTCATTTAGCTTTTACAACACAGTGTAAGTAGAACAAGGCTAAGTATAATGTAATTGGTTTGACTGATTGCATATTACAACAAGTAAAAAAACAAACACCAAACCTTCACTTAAATACCAAATTTATGAAGCATAATGTGACCGCTTAACTAAGGAATTTATGTACGAAAGAAAAGATAGAAATGTTAGACTAAAACAGAACGTACCGTCACACAATCCACTTGAGACATTGTACACATAGCCTGAAGGACATGGAACGCAATCACCAATTTTATTACGTCTGGAGTTGAAGTTTACGAAATAAAATATAAACACATTTGAAATCAAGATTAGAATTTAATTTTTTTTAAAAGCATAAAATGACTTTAATGGAGTACAAAGCTATAGATTTAAATCTTCTATTGGTCATTCCCACTCAGACTACGAATATGTGATAGTGTGTAACCATGGTAACGACTCTTTTGTGCTTTTGTCGAAATGCAGTTACATTTTTCTCAAAGCAGTGCATTTAACAATCTAAATTTACTAAAATATTCGGAGAAAACTTAAATGTACATGCAGATAATTAAATAATGCTTAGTGATACAGATGAGGGTTGATTAAGGAAAGTTTTGATGTGCATAATGATTGGATGAATTTTATTTAGCCTGAAATTTTATTGAATGTAATTACGGTCTTCATTCGGATGGTGTCAAATTGTGGATCACCTAAGGATTATTGGATCAAAGACCATTGGGTTGGGTCCCAGTGGCTCAATGATCTACGAGCTCGCCTTGTAATCAGAAGGCCCTGGGTTCAAAACCCGGTAGGTGCGTACTGATGAATAGTCCCAAACTAGGATGAAACAGCTGTCCAGTACTCCAGTGGTGGTTTTCCAGTGGTTCTCTAACTGATGTCAGCTCATGATGAAATCCTCCATGTGATCATGTAAACATCAAAGAGACGCAGTTTATCATTTCACATTTAGTCATCACCGATTACACCGACAGTAGTTTGCCAATCCAGTGCTACCTCAAATAGTTTGAACATCAATTAATCAACATTAAAGGTGCATTGGAAAGACTTATTCCACTTTACAGCTCAGTATGCTCTTTAATCCAGTCAAAAGTTGATAAGTATCCTGCTCATATCAACTCCAGCTGAGGTTACCAATTCACCTGCGATTTCGGCAGCAAGTACACAGGAAGGATTGAGAGAAGAGCATCTACTAGATTCTCTGAATATATCTCTTAAAGTTTCCTTTGAAAGGCAACAAAGACTTCGATCCAGCCTATGAATAAAGAAAGATAGTTTGACTAGTTGTTCACTACTCTGGAAACTGTAATCGTCTTTTTCATGTGCTCTTGTGTTTTGTTCTGTTGCATAACATTCCACTCAATCTTGATTTTGATTTTCACTCACTGAGTTGAACTCACTACTGAGGTTCCAAATCTACTATGTTAAATTATTTTATCTATTTTATAATTTTACTTCAGTATTCTCCACCATCTTCCTGAACTCTCCACCACATAATATGAATAAATTCACTCTGTTGTTCTATCTTGTAATTTGTCTCTAGTCCATCCTTGTTTCCAAGCGAAATCTGAATTCCACCCCCTTGTCTAATTACTGTATAAGTAGTTACTCTTTTAACACTAAATAATTGTCTACTTACATCATCTTTGAAATTATGTTACCTATACTTTCTGTCTATAACTTGAAATCATCTTAAAAAGTATATTCAGACACCATTTTGTAACTTATAATTGATTTGTTTAGGATGTATGCAGTTGAAGAGAATGCATGAAATAAAACTAGCTCGTATTATCCTGTAAATATGTTCATTCTTTCTTTATTCAAACTAATACAAGGAATCGGGTGTATGAAATTATTAAATCGCTTAAAAGTCTGTAATAATATGTACACCATATTTTTATCAGACGGTTTAACTCATACTGGCTTAAAAGAGCTACTGTTCCTTTAGAATAGCAAATGTTTGCCGTAATGACGTCTTAGTACTTCGAAATAACACAACACCCTACATAATTTTATTAGAATACAATCAAAGACGGTTGAAATAGAACTTTTTATATCAGAAAGAATGCTTTTCTAAACCGAATTTCAAAAACAAACGGAAAAGTGATAAATGAAGATTTTCTGTGAACTGTTTAATGGAGCTTGTTTGCATTTTCTTGAACTGTTTGTTCGTTTACTTACAGTAAAAAAAACCATCTGTTAATTTGAAGAAAACATCTATCGTATTAAATAGTAGTTTTGCGTTTCATATAGTTAAAGTTATCAACATAATGTGCTGATTTCAAATACCTAGTAATGATATGAACATAACCATCCCACCTGAATATTTAGGAAAGGATGAGGAGAGTTACCAGTGCATGCGATCATCATCTGTTTTTTCCTGAATGTAATATCGTATTCTTCTGCTTTCGTTTGCTGATTTAAATATGTGACAATCAACCACCTTAAATAGTGTTGTTCTAACACTTTTATTATTTTAATTGCTACAGTCTGCTTGGTGTGGAACTCAGATCAGCTTTAGTGTTCGCATTTTATTATTCTAGTGTTAGTTTGCAGGGATCTGATTGATTTCAGGATTTTGTCATGAACTGACATTGGTTAGAGGACCATTTGAAAACCTGGGAGTACTGGACATCTGTTTTGTCAGCCTGGTTTGGAACTCTTCATCAGTACGCAACAAATGAGGTTTGAACTCATGACCTTCTTGTTAAAAGTGAGTTCGTTACCTGGGTTCTAGTGCGAAGTCGTGATCAGTAGGTTACAGCAGATCTGGTGTGAGGACAAATACTCGCCGATGACATTAGCTAATGATCACACCATTTCATGCATTGGCAGAATTTGGAATTCATGAAATTCATAATAGTCTACGAGCTCGCCTTGTAACCAGAAGGTCCTGGGTTTGAACCTCAGTGGGTGGTAGCAATTTTTAATTGATTCCTATAAAACATCATCTATATCAATATATTTGTAAGACTTGGAGCACTGTGGTAGTATGTAATTCCATATTAGTTTATTTATTGGATATATCACACCCAGTGAAACAGTATTATTTACACCAGATGACAAGGTTTCGAACACAATTTATTGTTCATAATCATACCAATTAAAGTCAAACGATTTCGAAACTTTCGTTTTAGAAATTTCTTTATTCTCTCCTATTCGCCGTCGTAGGGGTAGTAGAATTTTCAAGATCTCTGGAACAGCTGTTAAATCATTCCTATTACACGTATTCTCCTTGGTTGATTCGATAAATAAAGCTTTCGTTATCAGTCCTGCTCCTTCCACCCTGTTACATCGGATTTTAAAACTGTTATTTTATCTCATCCTATTCTATGGCTATGTGTAATTGCATGTAGTGAGTGGTATAGCTGAACTAACTATTCTCCAAATTTCTCATATTATTTGGGTCAACTAATCTAGATTTTGTTAGGTTTTTGTGCTCCTCTAGTCTGATTGACCCTGTTCTACTACTTTGACCTATGTATTTGACCTGACAATCATTCAAGCAGAGTATTAGATAAACTAAATTGTTTTGTTTAATTGGCTCCATGGGATCTTTTAACCGATAAAGTTTATCTCTAATTGAGTTTGTGGGTTTGAATGCCACTTTTATTCCTGTATTGTTAAGAATTCTCATTAAGGTTTCCAAGGCTCCTTCTTTTTTTGGAAGTACTACTGATGATTTAAATTTCCTATTGTTGGTGTTGTAATTATCCTCTGCATGTTTGACATGCATGTCGTCATTAATATCATTATTATCACTATGACTACTGTAATTATTTATTTTTACATTTTCCTATATACTTCCTGATTAATTTATCACGGTTATTGTTAAGTTTCTCTTATATGCTTCACTTCCTGTCTTATTTTTTCCTTGATACTGCTTAGTTTTTCTGCTCTATTGCTTAAACATGCCATCAATCCTATTTTCACTGACATAAGATGGGACGATCGGAAGTCTAAATATCTGTTCGAGTGTGTGGGTTTCCTGTAAACACTAGTGTTTAACTTCCCATCTTCTTTCCTTTTTACGCTACAACCTAACATTGGCAGTTCCCCTTCCTGACTTTCCAATTCATAAGTGAATTGAATTACCTCCACCTTTGAGTTGATGTGTTCGAAGAATATATTTATGTCCTGTGTTCCAAGTACAGTGAATGTGTTATCTACATACCTCCACCATACTTTTGGGGTGGGCCTGAACATTTCAGTCACTAAATACGCCCACCTTTCCATGAATATATCTGCCACAACCGGGGATATTGGTGACCCCATGGCAACTGTCTCAGTTTGTTTGCATACATTCCATTGGAATTTAAATACTGTGGAAGTGAGGCACTCCCGGCATTATGTCCTCCAATGGCACTTTCGTTCTTAGTTCGAATTCTTGGTCAGAAATGAGTTGGTTTCTGACTGCCTCTGTAGCCATATTTATTGGTATTAAATTAGTATCTAAATCAAACCATAGAGTAAATTTAGCCCACCAAAGGTGATTAAATATTAGTTTTCTTAAAAAACGAGAATGAATCCAATAAAATGTTTTGTGATGTACGAATCAAACGTTCTTTAAAACATTTTTTCAGAGATACTATTTAGATAATTACGTTACATATTTTTTTAGAAAGAAACATACTTGGCATTTCCAGGACAATGGTGATCAACACATTTATGACCTCCACGAACATTGATGCAAAGCATACCTTTACCACATATAAATGGATCGATTTTACACTCATCAACATCTAGAAAGGAGAAGAAAACAATGACAGAAAAGAAGAGTAGCATTTAAAAAAGGATTAGGTAAAACAGTTAGTGATTTTCGTGTGAATGCTTTTCATTTCTTTATCTAAAGAAACCACTCATCATCCCTTTAGGTCATTCTCCTCTGCTGTGCTTGTTTTCATCATTTGATAACATAAATAATTTTGTTGCTGTTGAAAGCAGTTGACTCAATCTTCACTGTCCATCACTTCTGATTTAGTTATAAATATGCTTACCTGGAATAATATTATTTGAGAAGAGGCAAATATTGGAATCAACTCTTTACCCGCTTTCTACCCTTACCTTCACATTCTAAACTGTCGCCTCACTTTTCTACAGTATGAGATGTAACATTTTTCTGTGTTAACTAGAGAATTAAATAAATTTAAATCAAATCAGCTGAAATGGCGAGGATGAAATAGGTAGGCATCAGTTACAGACTTTTCATACAAGTCTCGTTCTCTTAGTATATTTTATATTCTTCTTTTGCGATATTTTTGATGATGTCATGTGGGTCGACTTTTTTTTAACGTCAATATGTGCTGATAGACAGAACGTTTATTTCATGTTCTATTGTGGTCAGAGCTGTCTGCTAGCCAAATCGGTAGACAGCTATTTACGTCAATGTTTACGTCCCAAATCTTCGTCATGAGAAAAGAACAAAAACAAAAAGCCGAACTCAACAACCAATCACAGCAGACCTTGCAGGGGGCTGATACGATTCGCAGATATACGGTCTGACCTTCAAAGAAACAGCCACAAAGAGATGACAGATTAACTTTCAGTGGGAGAACAACCAATCAGAAGACGGTGTTTCTCTGCTAACAATAACCTATAATAATATACATAGAAATATATGAATATCTCTCGATTTTCTCAATAAGCGATCTGTTGTCTGGCCCTTGTCTTCTGTCGTTAATTAATTTGATCTCGTTACAGCTGCTAAATTAAAATTCAGAAGTGCATGGCACTATGTACTACTGATGGACTGATGTGAGTAGCTGGATACCACTTACATCAGCCAGCGGTGCTTGTTAGCCACATCGAAGTGATCTATCAACGGACAGTGATTTCTATATTTTGGGGCCTGGCTCATCAGCTCTCCACCTGGTTTGGCTCAGCTCAGAGAAGTGAGTCATTTGAAACCACCCTAGTTGTGGTTAGCTACTCATATCAATGAATCAGTGAACCCAGCATTTATGCTTGCTTTCTTGATTGTCATTTATAATATTAAACATCTGATATACTTTGATCTGAATAACTTTTGTTTCCGAAGTGAACTGCAGTGAATTTTCACCTTAAACTGTGTAAAGTGTAAATTGTGAATTTATTAAAGCAAAATGGTGGTTTATAATACTAATAATTTATTAACAAACGTTCAGTTGGAAATCAGTGTTAAAAGCGACAATAGATTTATTGTAATCACCTGTGGTAATGTTCGTCAAGTTCGTTAAGCTGCTGTAAGTTACGGGGTGTTCTCAAGGTGTTCATAGAGAATGTTATCCGTGATGCTGTGACCTACACCGAGCATGAGAAGAGGAAGACCAGCATTGCTATGGATGTTGTGTACAAGTTGAAACGCCAAGATCGTAGATTTTTTACGGTTTTAGTGGTTAATTTTCTCACTGTGATTGATGTGGGAGATTATTTAATGACCAGTGTGTGGTTCGCACAAGAACGAATCAAGGTCCTTTTTAGGACCACCAGGTCTTGTGTCGGTTCTCAAATTATGAATTGCTATTCTAATATCCAAAGTACCTGCCATTATCAATAGCATTCTTACTGTTTAATTTTGTATAAATGATGTGGTAGTGTCAATCGTATTAACTAACTGCTGACTTGTAATCAGTGTGTGGTTTAGTGCTAATGATATTAATCAAATTATATGCCATTTACTGACTGATGTAAATGAAATAATACTGTTTTGGAAAACAGTTTTCTCTCACTTTCATTGGAAAGAGTAGTGGGGGATTCTTACCAATCAATAACCAACATCTAATAGTAAAGGGAAAACTGTTATCTAAATAGATTAAATATGGCTATATATCTACTTTTAATTGGTGGCTGATGACTAGCAGTGGAATCCAGTATGTGCATTTCGTCCTATTTGGGACTCGCCGTCTGGATGTACCTGCATTCCGCAGTGAGAGACAATGTTCTCACCGAGGCTCAGATCCAGTGCCCATAGTTTCAAACGCCAAGGCGTTGTCCACTAGACCACTTGGGCTACGAGAGCCACCTCTTGTTCAACGGGTCTTAATAATTCAATTTTAGATTTTCCCATCGATTGATTGAACCGAAGTTCTCGGTCTCAGATTCCACTGCTAGTCACCATCCACAAATTAACTTCTAATTACTTGCTCAGACATCGTCAAAGCATCTTCACAAGAAGCCGATATGTCAACCTGAGACCGAGCACTTCGGTCCAATCAATCGACAGGAAAATCTAAAATTTGAATTAAATATTTCTACTTTCCTTATCATGAAGTTTATTAATCGCAAGATTAGCATTGGGATTTATGATAGTTGGATATGTTTAACTTACATTTATGATCGTCTAAATTTTTTAAATGACAGATGTCATCTGTTTTGCTGATGGGTAGACAAAAACACAAACTAACCCCTGCTGTTAAATATTTTTTGTATTAGCATTAGGCGTCTAGTATTTATTTTGCAAAATGTCTAATTACACAGTTTGAAAAGTAAATGAAGCATATTTCATTGTGAAGTCAATTTAAGTCACTGAAAATGATGTGGCAAACTGTCTTTAACACATGACCATCTTCAGTTAGAATCTCATTCAGCGTATTTTAGTTTTGACCACTGAATAGTGTCTTCAGCCTTTGCATTAAAAGTGCGACTCATAGACTGGTATATGAAATTTACGCACCGGATAATTGAGTTTCATTGTTTTATAATGACTTTAAAATCAAACACTGAATATAAGTTAATCTCATAAGACTTCTATAATCCATAAATACATTAATACTTCTCACAAAAATGTTCTAATTTGGTTTTAACTTTTATGATGAAATTACATATTAGATAGGTTTATTTTAAAAATCACACAGTGATGAAGTATTAACAACTGGATGACGTTTTGAGCACGGTTTATTGCTCATAATCATATCAATTGAGTGACATGGTTTCACAATTTGTCTCATATATTTTTTCAAGAGTTTGGATTGTAAGGATTAGATTTGTTTATACGAGTTTGACTGCGGACTGATATCAGTTAGAGAACCATTGAAAACCAGCATGGAGTACTGGATAGCTGTTTCACCTTAGATTTTTGGGAATCATCGGCAGTACGCACCCGCTAATGGGTTTCGAACCCAGGACCCTCCGGTTACAAGGCCAGCGAGCTCGTAGACCATTCAATCACTGGGACCCGATTCGATAGCCAACTAGTGAATTCTAACTTCTACCAGTTCGTGATTTAGCGTGACCACCAACCAATGTCATCTGTGGGACATCCATCTTCACACTTGATTGGATGGACCTCACTAATCACGACTTCTCACTAGAACTCCAGGAAACTCTATCCTGTAGCAAGTCACTGTCGAGCATCCCTGGTTTTCAATGGTTCTCTAACTGATATCAATCCGTGTTCAACCTTATATATATATATATATATCTTTTTCTGTCTCTCCAACTTTCCTTGTATTCGCCTTCGTAATTATGTCGAATCAAATAATAATTGTATCTATGTAAATTTATGTATTTAAATGAGATTATACAGCTTTTGTAAAATGAAATCGCCAAAAAGATATCTTTGCTAAACTTCATGTTCTCTTCTTTCTAATTTCCTAATGGGTATTTTCCACGACCTTTGTTGTTGTAACTTTCCATATCTCCGGCATTGCCTGCGCTGAGTGATTCTGATCGCACGTGCTTGGTGTTGAATCGATAAACAAAGCTTCAGTGAATAACGCCTCTCTTCACCTATATTATTTTTAAATATTCTAACCCTGTCCCACCCTATTTTGTGATTACATGCAAGTGAATGCAGTGCAATGGTTGAGCTTTTTTCTAGGTTATTTAACTTATCAGGGTCAATCATTCTAGGTCTAGCTAAATTTTTATGTTCCAGTAATCTAGTTGACTCCGATCTACTAGTTTGACCTATGTAATTAACCTCACAGTCATTACATGGTATTTGATAAATTATATTACTTTTCTTAATTAGATCAGTTGGGTCTTTAAGCCAACAAATTTATCTCTGAGAGATTTGTTTGCTTTAAATGCTACCCTGACTAATTTCAGCGTCACTAAGAATTCTGTGTAAGGCCTCTGATGTCCCTTCTTTAAACGGTAGTGCTACGGAGGCTCTGAATTCTATATTTCTTTCGTTATTTAGATGGTTGGAGACAATCGGCAGGAAGCCTTGGACCTAGGTTTCGTGCTAGTTGGCACTCATCAGCAAGGCGTATCTTCAACCTTGAAGGAACTCATGTCCCTTCTGAGATTCGAACCCGCGTCACCCAGTGCAGCCTGCAGTCAGAGACGTTACCACTGAGCTATTCAGGCTCGCGACTGACCTCCTGTAGGACTGTATTGGATATTTTTGATTGAACACTAGTCAGTCCTGCCGACTGCCTCCAACCATCTAATACCAACAGTTCACAGTGCACCGTAATGGCGAGCCACCTAGCATGGTGGTCACATTGCAAACATGACTGATAGAATTCAGTCTGTACCGAAGATAGGACTAGACACATTACACTAGTTACTGACTAGTGTTCAATCAAAAATATCTCTCGTTATTTTCATCACTTTTATCGTTAGTCTTAATTTTTCTATGGTTCTTCATATATTTCTGAATAAATTCTGATGGGTGGTTATTCACTGGTAATATTCCCTTTATTTGTTTGATTTCGTTATTTGAATCTTCTGGCCTACTAGTCATTTAAGCAGCATCAACAATAGGCTTCTGAAGAAAGGATTCTTACACTTAAGTTTAAAACTGATTGAGAAACAATCCGTGGGAAATTATCCAGCTGTCACCTTCCAGTTTCTGAAATAACTTCCAATTTTTCCTCAGAATTCTTTTTCTTCAGATAATGCAGAATACCTGAATACTACTTAATTGATATTTAACTGAAGCTTTTGTGTAAAGCTAAAAATAATTTCTGATGTAAGCAACTTAATAAAACATATTTTAACGCAAAACATGTCGTCTTATAAATTTCTATCATTTGAAAACAAAAATAACAAATAACAAGAATCCACTTGGAGACATATACTTGTCAATAGTATATTTTTCAAAAAATATCTTACCTTCACACTGTTGGGTTCTTGGATTTAAGACATAACCATAACCGCATGGAACTTCACGTAAGCATTGATATGAACCAATTAAATTTCGACATTGTTGGCCAACAAGACAAGGACTATACATTGATGTGCATTCATTAATGTCTGAAATAGTGGAAAAATTAAAATATATAAATTGAAACTGGCTAATTCACATTCATGGTTAATACCTTCCAGATTACATTCGATCATGCACAAAGTAAATTAGAAATCTATAAGGCAGATTACTAGATCCCCTTGAATGTCTATGAGATATTTATTTAAAACAGATTTTAGTTTTCGATTTGTTTCGTCATAAAAACATCTGTTTTGTTGCGAGGGTGTATTTTTCACTCAATACCAGGGATATTCACTAGAAAGGCAGAGTGCAGAATATCTAGAATTCGTTGAATGCATATAATACCTGAAACCTGAAAGAAACAACCTCTTTTACCTACCTGGGAAGCATCGTTTCAACTACAGGAGGAACTGACGAGGATATCAAAGCAGCGAGGATCGGAAAAGCAAGACAAGCTTTCACTACTCTCAAGTCTGTGTGGAGGTCAACAGCACTCAGCATCAAAAATAAGATCCGGATTTCAACTCCAATATGAAGTCAGTGTTACTATACGGATCAGAGACTTGGCGCGTCATAAAGAGCACCTCAAGCAAACTACAGACCTTCATTAACAGATGTCTTCGCTCAATACTCAAGATCAGATGGCCGGAAAGGATCAGCAACAAAGATCTCTGGGAGCGAACCAACACAGCAGGAACCGATTGTGAAACAAATAGGCAGGAAGAAATGGAGATGGATTGGCCATACTGTGAGGAAACCATCAAGTGACATCACTAGACAAGCCATCACTCGAGTGGAACCCGAAAGGGAAGCGGCGAGTTGGTCGTCAGTGTGAGGGTGACTTGGAGGAGGTCATGTGAAGAGGAGATGAAAGCATGTGGGCAGACTTGGAGTCAGGTGAAGACTGTAGCAGAGAACAGAACGCAATGGAGACGCACGGCTGAAGCCCTATGTTCCTCTAGGAATTAAAGGAAACAATAATATAATAATAATATTAAACCTTAAGATATTTAGAAATTTCAGCTCAGTTGGATGGTTTTAGTGTTTTCTTTCCTGTTTTTAATGTTTTCATTGTAGATATTTTGTTATCCTTTTAAACAAAAGCATCAGCTGTGAAGGCTTTATCTTTCTTAATGAATGATTAGTAGTTTCAGAGTTCCTATTGTTAACAGGTATAAATTACAAGTTCAATATAAATAAAAGAGCGATGAAATCATCTTGGTCCTAGACCTGAGCACACTGCAGCTTCATGTGAAATCAAGGCTGGAACAGTCAGCTTTGATGAAAAGCACTGCTGTTTTCTGATATACCATGACAAGCGCCTTTGGATTATAATGTATGTAAAACAATGAAATAAACTAGTGAATCGCATAAGTGCTGGAACCACAGTTAATACGAACTTAAAGAGATCCAGCAAACTGATATAAGGTGATTTATGTGTGAATAAACATAATATTGTGCCTTCAGATTTCTTCAGAGGGAGTGAATTATTAGCAAAATTATGTTTCATAGGTATACCAGCTGACTACAAGATTTATCAACTAAAATGAAGTTGAAATATGACCAGAAGCTTCACTTTAGTACACAGTTATTTAGCAGTTTAATGGCAACAACGTCGGCAACACTAGAAATGCCAAAGTTTGGTTTTAAGTCTTTAAGAGATGTTTCTTAGAGTGAAACTGTAGTGAAATCAGGCTCGACTTACAGAATGAAAGCGTTTTCAACTTCGTTCATCTTGAAGAAATCAATTTCTCTATACTTCTTATGATCGCATCTAGACTGACAAATAATTCTGCAAAAGCTTTTACTGTAAGGTAAATGCATAGAAGTTCTGACTTATTATCAGATAAGTAATTTCGTATCTACTATTTTTAAACCCGGATTAGGAAGAATTTATCAAGTATTCTACAAGTTCTGGAACACTGGTGTACTTGCTTGCACTCGATATCCGTCATATTTCTTGATCTGAAGGTGGTGTTTCACTTTACTGATCAACTAGTGCTATAGAAATGTCTAGATGTGAAAATATGTTCAGAAGGTATGTTGCACTAATCAAAGCAAGTACTGCAAGTCATGAAGCTTTATAAGACCTTATAGATAGACAGATGTGATGAGTGTGTGTCCATAGTCGACTTTAATATTTCAGGAGATAAAATGTTACCAAGAAGAAGAAGTTTCATTGTTCCATAGCATGCAGATGACATAGTCCTTCAAGATAAAATGAACTGATCTAAATTGTCCATGAATGATAGAAAGTGCGTCGGTGGCACAACAGCAGAATGCACTCCAACCACGCCTCATGTGGTCCGGGGTTCGATCCCCGGCCAACGCACTCCTTTACCTCGCTAAGGCAGTAATAAGATTGCTAAAGTGGAAAAGTTAAGCATGAGGCTGGTGAGCCCATCCCGTAAGAAATAAATACGACTGCTACTGAAAATTCTGACCTCTAGCTCGAAGCCCTATATTCCACTGGGAACGTAAAGGAATAAAAAAATGAATGACAGAGTTGTGTCTCCTGGCAACCACCTTCTTTACTGGCATTCGATTTACATCTGTAGTGATCATTTTTATTGACTTGGATTTTGAACTTTCCCGTCAAGTGATTTACTTTTTATTAGTTGGTAAATTTTGTCTATATTAATACGTTTGTTAATCGCATATTCGTTTGAGTACCAGGCTTCTAGGAATTCTCTGGCACTTTTGGCGTTTTCTCTGTTTAAAATTTTGACATTATCCCAATCAAATTGGTGTCCATAATTATCCACATGCATTGATATGAAAGAATATATATCGTGTTTTCCTAAAGTCGATTTGTGTTCTTAGATTCGGAGTCGAAGAGGTTGCCCACTTTGACCGATGCAATGTCTGTTACAGTTCATACAATCTATTTTGTAAATGGCATTAATTTCATCTTCTTTTTGTGTTTGGTGGGTGTTTCGGTTTTCACAATATCGAATGAAGTGGTTAGACTGGTTTGTGTGCTATATCTATCGCAAACGGTCGTAATATTCTAGCTATTATTTCAGAGATATATTTTATATATGGTAGGATGGATTTTCTTGTCTTCTTTGATGATGGTTTCTTGTTGGTGTTGTGACTCGATTTTAAACCCTTTTTGATGAAATTGTGAGGATATCCATTCTTTTCGAAGAAGGCTAGTAGGTATTTTTCTTCGATTCTCTTCAACACTGGAATGTTACAGTGTGTTTGAACTCTTTTAAACAATGTCTGCACACAGTTTCTTTTGTGAGTAATTGAGTTATTACTATTATAGTTGAGTATTTGGTCTGTGTGTTGATTTTCCGTATACTTGTGTTTCTAAATTTTCTGTGTTAGTTCTCTTGATTAAGAGATCTAAAAATGGGATTTTGTTGTCTAATTCTTCTTTTGTGAATTTGATGTCTTCAGATATGTTGTTTATTATTTCTAGGTATATTCCAAATCATAATTCTGTTTTCTGTGAGTTTCCCTCTGTTGATTTAAGCCACATGGTATCATTTGTCTGACTAAGGTGTCCGTGGCGTTAAGAATCACTCACTGTAGGATGTTGGTGACATGGACCAAGATCTTTAACAATGACGCAGGCGTATTCATCATTAACTGTTATTATCCAGATTCTAAGACTCCTCATTGATCGTTGAAATATAGCGTCTTTTGCACAAAGCGCCACCTTGGTAAGTAAGTCAGTCATTCATATCTTTCGATGAACTAACTTTAGGTCAGTTGATCTAGTTATTTCATGCAGTGAACAGATTCAAATGACCAGGGGATATTGCTTACACATAGCTTATGCAAACTTTTCAAGGTTGGAAAAGAAAATCTCATAATTTAAAGAAAGCTTAGTTTTTAAAACCAAACATACCCACGCAGGTTCCATCTGCTGCCATAGAAAATCCAGCATTACATGAGCAATTGTAAGAACCAGGCAGATTTTCACATTTTATTCCTTCACCTTGACATGGTAGTTTACCTGAACCCAGACCCTCAATACATTCATTGATATCTGGGAGGTGCATAAACAGAGAAATATAATAAGTACATCGCTTATCGCTGGAATCACTTATTGAAATTTTAAGTGAATGAGACACATCCATAACTTAAGAGAGAAAAGAAAAGGCGTTCGGCAAAAAGTTACAAAATTAAGCCGCTTATACATATATATATATACATATATATAATGCGTTGCTATAGCAACAAATGGAATGCTTCCATGGATGTATGATTAAAATTTTTAGTTTTTAGATAACAATCAAGAGATCGTAAAGGAAATCGTGTAATTATTGTTATGATTGTTCCCTTGGGTTCCTAGTGGAACATAGTGCTTCAACTGCACGTCTCCACTTGCTTCTGTCTTCTACTGTACTTTTCACCTGCATCCATGTTAGTCCATACTGTTTCAACTCTTCTTCACACGATCTCCTCCATGTCACCCTTGGACGTCCCACTCGCCGCTTCCCTTTCGGGTTCCACTCGAGCTATAACCTGACGCGCGATGTCACTCAGAGGCCTCCTCAGCGAGTGTCCAATCCATCTCTACTTTCTCTTGCATATTTGTTGGGTGATTGGTTCTTGTTTTGTTTGTTCCCATAGTTTCTTGTTGGTTCTTGTTCTTTCCGGCCATCTGATCTTGAGTATAGAACGAAGACAGCTGTTGATAAAGGTCTGCAACAGGCTGTTGGAAATATTCTTTGTGACCCGCCAAGTTTCTGATCCATCCGTATAGAAGAACTGACTGACTTGACGTTTGTATTGAAAATCCGAATTTTGTTGTTGATGCAGGCTGAGTGACGAAGATTTCCAGATTGGTTTCAGGTTGATGAATGTGTTTCTCGCCTTCCCGATTCTCGATTTGACATCCTCGTCCGTTCCCCCTGTAGTTGAGACAATTCTCCCTAGATAAGTGAAAGAAGTAACCTCTTTCTAATCCTTCCCGTTGATGGTGATTGGCGCTGGATGTTGCTGTCGTTGTTGTTGTTGGTTGGTTATTTTCATGACCTCCCTCTTGTCTATGTTCACCTGGAGTCCTGTCTTTGCTGCTTCTTCGACCAGTTTGTCGGTTTTCGCTTGTAAGTCTTCGATTTTGTGTGACATCAAGCATAAATCATCCACGAAATCCAGGTCTTCTAGGTTCTTCATGTCGGTCCAGGATATCCCTGTCTTCTCGTTTCCCACTGTCTGACGCATAATCCAGTCCACCACAATTAGGAATATCATTGGTGATAATAAGCACCCTTGTCTGACTCCTGTGTTTACTCGAAACACCTCACTGAGTTTTCCGTTGTGGATCACTTGATATGTGCCGTTGTCGTACAGCTGTTGAATAAGGTTGATGAATATTTCGGGTACGCCATAGTACTTGAGTAGTTTCCAAATTACTTCGCGGTCAACGCTGTCGAAGGCCTTCTCAAAGTCTATGAAGTTGAGGTAGAGATTTGATTGCCATTCCATGCTTTGTTCGATGATGATGCGTAGACTTGCAATTTAGTCAGAACATGATTTGACCTTCCTGAATCCAGCTTGTTCCGGTCTCGCTTAGATTACTACCTCGCTAGTTTTCTAGCCGGTCCCAAGCTCGGATAAAGAGGGAGGGTTGGGGCGTGGTGCTAGCAACTCCACCCCCAAAACCTAACCAAACTGCCACAGAAACTTCGACGCACAAATATATTAAAAATACTAAATCGTGTAATACAGAAACAATAGTCTCACAGAGACTTAGGCAAAATCAGTTAAGTAAATTAAGTGTTGTAATATAATTAACAGGAGTGAGTAGAGTTCAACTAAAATTGAAATAAGGTCATATCAAGATCAGTGTCATAAAGGAGTGCAGGTATATTAGTGGGAAAATTTGAAGAAAACAAAATATTGCCGTCATATATTCGGATATTTCATACACCTAAACACAATAAAGCTAAAAGCCATAGAGATAATAAACACGTAGCATTTTTTCCAAGTTTGACCACTGATTGATATCAGTTAGAGAACCATTGAAAACTTGAGAGTACTGGACAGCTTTTTCTTCAGCCTAGTTTGGGACTCACCAGCAGTACGAACCCACACCGCTGGATTTTAACCCAGGACCTTGTGGCTACAAGGCTAGAGAGCTAGTAGACCGTTAAGCCACTGAGACACGATCCAATCGTCAGCCCCTGAATTCTAAGTTCCACTAATTCACAACATAGCGCGACCACTAGCCAATGTCTTCTTCGATGAGCTACTGCCTCATCTTCAACCTGCTGTACCCTAGTGGTTACGGCTTTCCACTAGAACTCCAGGTCAACTGCCTGAATAGGGACAGTCGTCAGTAGGCATCAGGTCAAACCAGTATTCTCAGGTTTTCCAATGGTGCTCTAACTGATGTCAGCTCATGATGAAACCCTCTAACCAATCAAACACAATCCCTACAAAACCAATACTTGAAAAAAGCAATCTGTTAAATAACTGTTTGAGATATTCACCTTTGAGTTGAATTGAATTACTATACCAACTAATAGTCATTCAAAAATTTCTTTTCTACTTAGTACTTAATAGATGACAACAATATTTTAATAGATAGTCTGTTTTGCACTAAACAAACGCTTACCTTCACATTCATCTCTTGTACTAGATAACTTGTAACCTGGTGGACAGTCTGATCTATCCGGTGACATTGGAATGCACTTTCTTGTTTCTTTACTAAGATACATTCCAACTGGACATGAAATTACAAATCGAACGCACAGTTGTTGTTCTTCATCCCAAACAAAACTTTCTTGACATTGTATTGTATTTAACTGTTTAGATACTTTTTCTGCTTTTACAAAAGTTTCATATACTGAGTTAGAGGTAGGAGTTGTAGACGGAGTGGTGGTTATTGTATTTTCAGTAGACGTAGCAGTAGTAGTAGTGGTTGCTGTAGTTGTTGTTGTAGCAGCAGTAGTAGTACTGGAAGTAGTACTAGTCGTAGGAGGAGAAACATTATCATTAGAAGACTCAGTACTAGAAACCAATCCAGTGCCTCTCATGTCTGAACCGTATTCTTCAGGTTTGTCGATTAAAACTGGACTATCAAGGTCTGAATCTACCCAGGAATCTGGCAGATCTATACCACCAACAAGATTAAAGGAAAAGTCATCATCATCATCTTCAGTTGGTATCAGTTTTGTTTTAGTTGGTGATGTTGTCACTTGATGAGTTGTACTCGTCATTTCTTCAGAAGTAGTAGTAGTAGTAGCGGTGGTAGTTAAATATTCTCTCATTATCTGGTGTACATCTGGATCATCAGACATGATCATAGACGACTTGAATAATGAATTTGAATCGTCTTCCAGTAATTCTGTTTTCATTTGAAATATAAGAAGTGAAAAGAAATGAAAATTCATTGATGAAATAGTTAACAGAGAGCTTGGAAAAATAAAGTTTACTCTAAGTTTCATCTTTTTTTATTTTGATTTACAGCTTGATTCCACACCGTATTTTCAGTACAAGTGTAGAATTTTCAGCATGGATATCGGTAGCCCAAATTCAGGCCGACCATAGATATCGGGTGTGCGCCGACAGGGGATCGAACCCCGGACCATGTGCATGGTCGGCGAGAGTCCTAACCACTGTGCCACCGACGCACACATTAGACAGAATAGTAGATAGAATTTATTTGTACAATGAGATTGTTGTATGTCAGCTGTCTTGTAGATTTTTGTAGTGAAAAGTATTTTTTGACGTCCAGAATCCCTGATTTTAGTTTTCAGTGTAGAAAGCTGGAACGATACACTAACCTACTCTTTATTTGTTGTCAATCCATGTTATAGGTAGTTTTGAGAATACAAACTTCAATTAAGTCTTAAATTCTCTACAGATATTTGTGTTTTATTATTATTATTGTTTCCTTTAATTCCTAGAGGAACATAAGGCTTCAGCCATGCATTTCCTTCGAGTTCGGTTCTCTGCTAGAGTCTTCATCTGGCTCCAAGTCTGCCCACACGTTTTCATCTCCTCTTCATATGACCTCCTCCAAGTCACCCTTGAACGACCCACTCGCTGCTTCATTTTTGGATTCCACTCGAGCAATGGCTTGTCTAGTGATGTCACTTGATGGTTTCCTCAGAGTATGGCCAGCCAATCCATCTCCATCTCTTCCTGCCTATTTGTTTCACAATCGGTTCCTGGTTGGTTCCCTCATTGCCAGAAATCTCTGTTGGTGATCTTTTCTGGCCGGCCATCTGATCTTGAGTATTGAGCGAAGACAACTGTTAATGAAGGTCTGTAGTTTGTTTGAGATGCTCTTTATGACACGCCAAGTGAAATTTATGAATCACGTTTTGAGTGAGAAATGACTTGTTATGCAGCTGATCGACCGAGGAATAATTAATGACCTATGTGATGTAGACAGCCTAGCGGTTATAATACAGCCCATTGATAGGATCCCGCATAATATAGTATATCATCCTTTCTCACGCATATTGTTACTTGTGTGATCAATATTTTCTCACGGCTGTGAGCTGACTTTATTGTTGTAAACAAAATGTATAAATATCATGTGGCGTTTTCCTAATAAATGTACAGTACAGTATCTTACAGTCACAAGCCAGCTTTTGTGTTTTGATATTTGCATGGTTCAGTGAATCGGAAGGTACAACGGACAGGTTGGCATGTTAGTGTACCAGTCGAGTTCGTCACCGCTACAGCAATTAGCAGGAGAAGACATATCAAAGTGCCGACGGGGTTTCTATTTTGTTCAGCGCAGCTATAACATATTTTTGACTGTGTTGATTTCATTCCACTTATAATGTTTATTTCTTTGGATGAACTCAAATCCATTTTGCAGCAGCAGCAGCAAGTTCAGAATGAAGCAGTTCAACTAAAATTAATCGAAGCTCTCATTCAGGCTCCTCCAACATCTCATTTAGATAAATATGAAAGCATCTCAAACTCTATCAGTGAGTTCAACTACGATCCAATATCTGGCCTCGTATTCGATACATGGTTCAACCATAATGAAGACGTTTTCCATATGGAATGGGCCATGTTTGATGATGCTGCCAAAGTTCGATTGTTATTACAAAAACCTGGTACTGTTAAGTACAGCAAATATGTTAACTTCATTCTGCCTAAGAACCCACATGACATATCTTTCGATGAGACAATCACCGTTTTATCCCAAAGTTTTGCTGAACACTCATCCATGTTAAATTTTCCGTATCAATGTTTTCAGTTGACAAAAATACCTTCCAATGATTATGTCACCTAAACTGGCAAAAAGTGAACAGGAAATGCGAAAGATTCAAACCACACGAGATGACATCAGATGAGTTCATATGTTTGACTTCTATTTGTGGTATAACGAGCCCAGAAGATGCTGACATAAGAACTCGACTTCTGTCACTTTTGGGACAAGACCCGAAAATGACTTTGCAAATGGAGACAGCAGAATGTCGACGTTTAATCAACTTGAAATTACAGCAAATTACAGCTGTTTGAATTTGCCTCAATTAACGTAGTGAAAACTCTCCCGACCACTGTTAAACACACAGCAACTCAATTTCAAAATTCAGTTAAACCTCCATCAGTGTGCTGGCACTGTGTTTCATGGCATTTTGTTAAATTTTGTCCTTTCAACAATGCAAATACGTATTTGTTTAATACTTCACATTTTGCGTTATTATAGTATAGGATAAGCAGTGACAGGCAAAGATAGAGAATGCGGAGTCGGCCGAATGTTCATTAGAAAAAGTTCAAAATAAAAGATATCTTAGTTCATGCTATTTTTAAAGTAGAACAGACTGAAATGAAATAAAAAGAGACCAACTAAAAAAAGGATATACAAGGAGAATTATCCAGAAGATGGCTTTCACATTATAACTAAGATTTTATTTTGATGAAGTCACACAGTATTATACAGTAATATTAACTGATGATGTTTCGAGCACAAATTAATACTGCTCATAATCATATCAAGCTACTCACACAACTTCTTGCTTCATTTATATATATATATATATATATATGAGTAAAAATTGATTAGATATTTGAATAAAATTAATATAAGGTAATTTGCATTCAAAAATAATATTAGTGTTATTCATCAAATACAATTAGATGGGAAATAAGATGTTTTTTACAGTAAAAATAAGTAACTTCTTAGAATGTCATCATGTATGTGAATTGAAATAGAATATTAAGATTATTTATTATCCTCCTCTGATTTGACTGGTGGTAATAATATCTTCCATGTCTCTGGTATTTGCATTGAGCCATTTCTGTTGCAGATGTTGGTTGTAGACTCGATGAACAAGGATTCAGTAATCAGTCTCTCTATCTCCACTTACCTATATTACTTTTTAGAATTTTAACCCTCTCACACGCTATTGTGTGGTTGTGTGTTAATGCATGCAGTGCAATTGCTGAGGTTTCCTCTTAATTACTTATCTTCTCGGGGTCACTTATTCTTACCTTAGCTAAATTCTTATATTCTGATAATCTAACCACCCCCGATCTACTGGTTTGACCTATGTAGTTGACTTAACTCATAGTCATTGCAAGGTATTTTGTAAATTATATTATTTTGTTTGGTTGGGTCTACCGAGTCTTTTAGCCTATGGAGCTTGTCTATGAGTGACTTTTTAGGTTTCAATGCCACCCTAATCAGAACATAAGAATTTAGCTAAGGTAAGGATGACTGATCCCACGAAGATAAGTAATTTAGAGGAAAACTCAGCAGTTACATTGCATGCATTAACACAAAACCACACAATAGAGTGGGTGGGACTGAGTCAAAAAGTAATATACACCCAATTCAATGCAAATACCAGAGATATGGAAGATATTATTACCACCAGTCAAATCAGAGGAGGATAATAAGTAATCTTAAAATTCTATTTCAATTCACATTGTAACATTCTAACAAGTTATTCATTTTACCATAAAAACATCTTATTTCCCATCTTATTGACTAATAACACTCATTCTATTTCCCATCCTGCTGTAATTTATTGATAACACTGATATTATTTCCGAATGTATTTTATCTTCCATAGTAGATTGGCTAATAACACTCGTCTTAATTCTCACTAATATTCGTTCCGAATGTATTTCCATTCTGTTTCACGCAAGTCTTATATTGAATTTATTTAAATGTATACTATTGTATATAAAGGAAGCAAGAAAGTTATGTGGGTCCCTTGATTTGATTATGAGCAGTAATAATTTGTGCTCGAAACATCATCAATAAATATGACTGTATAACACTGTGTGACTTTATCAAAATAAAATCTTATATATATAGTGGAGTTATACTCTGCCAGAGTCCCCAAGTTTTATACTTATAATATATGTATATATATATATATATATATTAGTTTTCACATGTTTATTCTGTTCAATGTACATTAGCATTAAGATATTAGGATAATACAAAATTTGTAATACACTTTATTGAACAAAACTCCTTTCCATTCTTGGGCAAAGGAAAAATCGTTTGTTTAGTTTATTCGACAGTTATTTTTATACAAAATTAATAAATTTCAAAAGAGGAACATCACATTTTACAAAGAGAATATAACTTACTTCGACTAAGCATACTGCAACAGTTTCCTTGAGGACAAGCACTCTGATTACTTTCATAGGTAGTATTTTCTAGTAAACTGTTGCTATTCATAGAACTTTTACTCCATATTAATTGACAAAGACAACATTCCTAAGTAAGGTAAAATAGAGGAGTTTATTTCTAGGTCGATAAATCTATACAGATAAATACGAAAAAAACATGTTTCCACTGAGTTACAGTATTCTGTTGTTCTCACACTAGACGTCATCTTAATCAGTGTCCTTTGAACTGTTAGTCTGACTGCTTAGCAGCTGAACTAATTAATCTCACTGTTAACAAGACAAAATTTCTAATTATACCCTACTGGTCACGGCTTCCCACTAGAACCCCAGGTAACTACCTACCTAAATAGGGCCAGTCGCTAGTGAGCATCAGATTAATTTTCAAGTATTGGTTTTGTAGGGATTTTGTTTGATTGCATGGAGGATTTCATAATGAGCTGACATCAGTTAGAGAACCATTGGAAAACCTGGGAGTACTGGACCCTATTCAGGCAGTTAACCTGGGGTTCTAGTGGGAAGCCGTGACCAGTAGGGTACAGCAGGTTGAAGATGAAATTGGAAGAGGAAATTCGAATTATCACTTAGGAAATTCATTTTCGCCTCAATCAGCATCTGAGTTTATTAGAACTAACCTTATGAAGGCGATTGTCTCTGGACTAATTGAACAAAATTCAGTCAGAAATCGCCATGAACAAGACAAGACAATATACTACTTATTGATTAAGATAAGTAGTTGTATAACATTCACCACTCATTGCACTACTGGTTGATATGAGTGGTATAAAACTACTCAATTAAGTCAATCAGTAGTATATAATTTTAAGCGAATTTGTTTGTTTTCTTGATCAATTGTTGGTATTAGATGGTTGGAGGCAATCGGCCACAGGAAGCCTTGGACCTAGGTTTCGTGCTAGTTGGCACTCATCAGCAAGGCGTACCTGCAACCTTGAAGGAACTGATGTCCCTTCTGAGATTCGAACCCGCGTCACCCAGTGCTGCAGTCAGAGACGTTACCACTGAGCTATTCAGGCTCGCGACTGACCTCCTGTAGGACTGTGTTGGATATTTTTTGATTGAACACTAGTCAGTAACTAGTGTAATGTGTCATGACTGATAGAATTCAGTCTGCACCAAAGATAGGACTAGACACATTACACTAGTTACTGACTAGTGTTCAATCAAAAAATTTTCTTGATCAATATTTATGGTATCAGTTAGATCACAGACTGTGATCTGATTAACTTGGTTTTTGAAGAAAAATGTAGTGAAAATTTCATCCATCTATCTGAATACACTGAAAATCACTAACCAGTTTGCAAATTGTTAGTTTGAGAAGAACAGCAGCTTATGAAGTGAATAATCTTCCACATAGATCAGTTTTGACATAAACAGCTCACTTGTTTTATCTTCACTGTCAGATGATATGAATCTAGTTCATCAGTAGGGTATTCATTTCCTCAAGATTGAAGATAAATTGTACTACTGAGTGGTGATGAGTGGAAAATTTCAATCGAGGCATCTTAACAACTAATTCTTGAAGTTAAATATGAATACAGGCCATCCAGATGATAGCTTAAACTAATTCTAGTAAAAAAAAACATCAGTCCCAAGGTGGTCTTTAATTAGTTAATAGGTAGCTTAATAGTTACTGTAGAATAACGTTGAAGTAGTTTTTGGTAAATATCTGTTTTGTATAATGATCAAATGTCATCCTCGCACATAAGTATCTACCTTTGGCTGGATCCGTTAATCACCTTTAACTGGTTTTTAATTGGGTTTTCTTTAATTGCTTTTAAAAAAATCAGATTTATCAAAAGATATTGGTCATTTGACTCTCAGTGAACTATTTCTTAGACTTTAATACGCTTCACCTTGTATGTAATTAAACCAAAGAGAGCTTTGGTTTTGTTTCTTCCACTTTATATAAGCTTAAATTAAATAGTGACTAATGTTTCTCTTTGCCTCAGGTTACCTGACATCAAGTATTATCCAGCCAACAAATCAAAGATTCACTTTCCTACTTAGTGTTGTAGAACACATTGAAGTAGGTGACTGGTATTTCTAAATATCTGTTGAATTTTTTCATTAATACGCTAGTGACCAAGGTAACTAATCCGGCAAAGTTCAACAATAGCACCCCAAGGGATGCGAACGGACGAGTGACCTTGAGCCGATCAATCAGAAAAATGAGGGATTTTTGGACAAAAAATTACGTATATTTACACAAAAAAGCATAAAAACACTAAACAGGGTATTTTTCTCTGATATGAGTTAAAAATATGTCCCAATTATAATGGGGAGTGTCAGTTTTTAAATTAAACCAATTTCTATACATATATTCATCCAGGTGACTAAAAATAACTTGGTTTTGAGGGTCATTTATTGCTCTTATCCTATTTATTGATCTTTCCCAGAAACCCTATATTGAATTATTATGAGTGCCTGTTCTGGGATCGACGAAATCATCGGGATGTATATATCCTAAATCCGATAAGTGGTTATATCCTGCATATTCATACACGTGGACAGTAGTACCAGGCAAAACTAGTCTTTGAATAATAGGCAGAAGAGTGTCGGCACTCCTGTCTGGAATAAGCTCAATCAGTCTCTTCTGAATTTGGATGTCAGAAATTCCCGATACCCAAACGTTGTCAGCTCTAGCACGACCGCGATTATATTTCTTCTTCATCAGCACTGTTTCGTCGATGTGAACGATAACATCCACTCCTCCCAACACTTGTGTAACATTATTCATTTTCCATGAGGCAAAATCTCGACAAAATTGAAACCACTGCACAGTAGAAGTCAAGGTATTTTCTGTCTGAGCCTCAGTTGACCTCACTCCGGACTTCAGAATCCAGTAATGGCAAAGAAACGGTATATTCGTCAAAGAAAGTTTCGATTTCACAACGAAAGTTCCTAGAAGACAATAAACTGAGAGTGTCACTTACCAGTACGAACACTCGTTCGTTTTCTACACTCCGTACATCTAAATATATATCCATCAATGACTTGTGAATACGGTTGCACGCTCACTGAAGCACTGCAACTACATATACCAGTACGTCCTATCAATCCATTATCCAGACAGTAATTAAAAAAGTAATTTGTGTGAAATTTGCACCTGAGCTCATGAACAGCGTTCATTTTTGCGCTAGAATAATCGTAGGTTTCTCTAGCCAGGCAATAGCATGCGTTCAAGGTCATTTGAATGTTCGCACTCCTGGGACGCTATTGTTGAACTTCACCACTAATCCAACACTAACCATGCCTTCGAGAGAAGTGGCTTGAGGAGCATTTTTATAATGATAAAAGCTAATGATTACATGGCTGAACAAGTAGTTCAAAATGTATTACACTAACCTATTAAGATACTTTGTATATAACAGGATCACAGCAACACATCTCTTAAGACGAACTTAGTTTAACTATCTATTTAATATTGCCAGCACAAAACAGCAATATATTAAAGATAAATTGTTGAAAATTTAACTTACCCTAGCAACTGGTGTTAATCTAACATCTACAAGGTGAATAAATTCACCAACTGAACAATTTTCTGAATTATGCTTGACAATATGATCTGAACCAATTTGACAGGCTTTGAATCTTCTAGCTGATAGACAACAATAATGTTGAACACGTTGACACCAAAAGTGATTGGAATACATGGATGTTTTTCCATTGTCCTGTTTGCAATAATTTTTTTTAAATGTACAGAAATACAATTATCAAAAGACTCACACACATATATACATAGATCATGAAATAGATTGGACTATTACTTAACCCCTGGAGAAAAAAGTTATCACCTCACCTACATGTTATAACATATATTTTTTAAGCTATAGCATTGTCACTCTTACACTGTACTTTCTATTCACCACAGTTTCTAATGCTTGTTTAAATTTTTATTTTCAAGTATTGGTTTTGTAGGGATTTTGTTTGATTGCATGGAGGATTTCATTATGAACTGACATCAGTTACAGAACCATTGGAAAATAAGCTGGGAGTACTGAACAGCTGTTTCTTCCTAGTTTGGGACTCTTCAGCAGTACGCATCCACCACCACAGTTCGAACCCAGGACCTTGTGGTTACAAGGCGAGCTCGTAGAGCATTGAGCTACTGGGATCCAATTCAATGGTCCTTGAATTCTAACTTCTACCAATTCACGACATAGCGCAACCATTTTATTATCAAATACAAAGCAGATGTATGAGCTAAAAGTTAAAAGGTGATTGTCTAAAAACCTGTACCTAGGATTTGTCTGAGCTCAGTAAAATGTATCTTAGATGTTACGAAAAAACATATTAGTCCTAGTCTTCGAGCTTGTACAGTTCAACTAAACAGTTAACAATGTGGTCACGAAATGTTTATCGCCGCTGATAATTTCGCATACTTCTAGTTTGTCATTTCTTTGATGAGGATGTGAATAATTTTGTAGATAGGTTTCAGGGAGTGTTGACCGAAGACTGCTGACAAACCGGACAGACAAATAGTGCTCATTAGGTTCTAATAGTCCTCTAAACGATTTAATTCATGATGAAATTTACCTTGAGATATTTCTCTCCATCTTGTCAATAATGCAAACTGTTTTCAGGACATTTTGACTCGAAATCACTATTTTGAACCCAATAGCCATCTAACAAGTTTCAGCAGGAATACCCTCACTCTCTGGGGATGCAGTTACATTCAACTGACGAGTCCCATATGGGACGAAATGAGCAATATGGATTCTCCTGCTAATCCGCATCAACCAGATAACATTATGTTAACTGTCAGACATCGTCAAAGAGTCCGTACTGAGAGTTGTCATGTCGCTAGAGGATGAGGGTTTCAGTCAAATATAATCAGTCAACGGAAAAGGCTAATTCACTTAAATTAATAACCTCTTACATGAGTTAATTTTCACTTCAGATTGACTAACTGGTTTTTATTGTCAACTAACACTGTGACTGAATCATTCAAATGAACTGTTGTCAAGATTTGACAGAATAGTTCTAAAATGTTTGGGCGCCGAGTGAGAAGTAGACATTTGTAAAGAATTATATTTGTAAAATCTCAGCTAGATTGAAACGAGTAATTCCAACGTTTCTATCGGCAATCTGGTCAGAACTTCTTCAGGGAAATTAATCGAAATTAACATAACAGAGGTTTAGATGAAAAAAGGAAAATCACTTGTTTTTAAAAACCTTGTCCAATCATGATTCATTCAACAAGTATCAACATGTATAATAAACAAAATTTTATGAGCTGTGATCAAAATTTGACCTCGGACTTACAAATATTGGTCTACCTGTGTTAAACACTTTAAACAGAGTGTATATGTGTGCATGGGTAAAGAGTTGTAAAACATTTCTTAACGACTCCATAAGAAGATATGGACAGTCGAGAATTTTGACCAAGTATTAATAATTAGTGATACATATCCATTTTTATTTATTAATCAGGATTTCCTATGCATCAGCTTCATGTCTCTTCAAACTACTAGTATCTAGAATTTGATGATTAGACGTATTTTCAAAATTATGGTGTTTAGGATTAGAGTTTAGTTTAAGCACCCTGTCGATCTTATTGCTTTGTCTTCTTTCTGAATATTGAGCTGCTTTATTCGACCTACTGGAGTTGTCAGGTGACTCAACAGCTACGGATTTAGGATATGCATTGTTCTGTTGCAGACAACGGAGAGTGAAAACACGATGATTGTGTCAATTACACAGTTTCTTTGTTAATTTAATTCGATAGCAAAATAATTCAAATGAACTGTCGTCAAGATTTGACAGAATAGTTCTAAAATATGTGTAAGTCCGAGGTAAAATTTTGATCACAGCTCATAAAAATTTTGTTTATTATACTTGTTGATACCTGTTTCATGACTCATGATTAGACAAAGTTTTTAAAAACAAGTGATGTTCCTTTTATATATCAACCTCTGTTATGTTAATTTCGATTAATTTCCCTGAAGAAGTTCGAACCAGATTGTCGAACGAAACGTTGGAATTACTCATTTCAAAATCTCGCTGAGATTTTACAAATATAATTATTTACTGTGAATGAATGTCAGAATATTCGACTTAACAAATTTCATTAGATTTTTGTGAATGAATATTCTTTTGAATCTTATTCTACAGAATGGAATATTTTGCCAATATTATTCTGCAAGGAAACCTCAAGGTTAAACCACATAAACTATTAGGAATTTTGATTGATTGCGCATTCATATAGACAGATTTGTGTAAATGGGTGTGGTATTTCTTCATTAATAGCACATTTATAGCCAGTAAATATTGAAAGTTAAATGTTTAGACCAGCGTCTAGAAAACGAAACAAATTACTGTTGAAACTTACGGATATTTTTTTATTTAGGCTGCTTTTTATTGGGTAATTGTATTGTTGTGTTATCTTGTACCAGAACTACCATTGAACGGCGCATTGTCTGATTCTTTCAGTTATTTTGATAAGGTTGTGTTCTCTGAGCTGAATAGTTAATTTGCGAAGCTTTCATCGCCCTACTAGGCGACATCTTCAGCGCATACTTCAATTTGAAGTGAGCTTTTAGATTTCTCCACGAGTTTATTAATCATCTCTTCTGGTGACTTTGGATGTGATTGGTTGTTTTTGTTTCGTTCGCAGTTGTAACAACTGCGAAAAACACTACATCGGCCAAAGTGGACGTCCCCTTCGTCTTCATATTCACGAACATAAGCTAGCCGTCAAAAGAGATGATATCCACTCCCTCATATCACTACATACAGACAACCATGGACATCAATTCGATTGCGACAACGTTCAAACATTAGACAGAGGAAACAACAAGAATGCTAGAGAATTTTTAGAAGCTTGGCATTCCAGTGAATCATCAATCAACAGACACATCGAGATTGACAAAATTTATCAACCGATAAGAAAGAAACCTGACACACAAAGAGTCAAAGCTCAAGTCAAAGAAACAATGAGTTACAATACAAGTAACCTAGAAGATGTAAAAGCACACAAAAACCACCGATCACGTTCAAGGTCACCAGGAGAGATGACTAATAAACTCGTAGAGAAACCTAAAAGCTCACTTCAAATTGAAGTATGCGCTGAAGATGTCGCCTAGTAGGGCGATGAAAGCTTCGCATATTAACTATCCAGCTCAGAGAACACAACCACATCAAAATAATCCACCTGAGCTACAAATCTTCTCCATCATATCTTTCAGTTATTTATTTTATCACCAATTTCAGATGTTCGTGTGAATGAAGGCTCCACTGAGTCTTTTCTTTCCTTTTATTCCTTCGCGTTCCAAGGGGAATATGGAGCTTCAAGTGTGAGCTTTGAAGTTTCAGTAGCAGTGGCGTCTTTATTTTTTTACTGGGAAGGGTTTCTAGTCTCACGTCCAACCTTCTCTCTTTCCTGAGCTTGCTAAGGGTTGAGCTAGGTTCATAAGGGCGTCTACCGAGGATCGAACCCCGGGGCCATGTGCATGGTTGACGAGTATTCCTACCATTGAACTACTGATGCATTTGAGCATTTCGTAACAAAAAGAATTCTGTTTAGGAATTACATTGTAATAGACTACTCAGTATTTGTTTTAATCAGTGGTATGTTAGTAGACGTACAGATAATCTGAGACGGTCACATGTTTATCCTTTTATGTTAGCTTCATTGGTTTAACTGAAGAAGTTGAACGTATTAGAATGACGTTTTTTGAAAGTTTCAGGATATTGAACCTAAATATATATCAATGGTTCTTATAGACTCTGAAAGGTGAAGAGAACTAGATAACTTCTGTGCTGACTGTAGAGGTGTCTCATTTGCTGTACTTCAGGAAAACTGTATGTCTGATGGGAATAAGCTAAAAATAGTGATCACCTTATGATTCATCGTGTGATCGGATGACCGCAAAATTTCATCTTCTTCTTCCCACCTTGGTGGTCTTGGTCACCTACCTTGGCCAAATCGTCTATCAATCAAAACAATCTGTTTCCACTGCCCTGGGCTTATTTTAATATGGTAAAAAAATACAAAAATATGACTTTTTTCTTGATAAAATTGTAACCTAACAGTCACAGGCCAGTCTTTGCTTTTTGATCTTTACGTGGCTCATTGCAGCAGAAGGTACCGCAGGTGAACAGGCGTACTTAGCACATCACTTGAGTTGTTCATTGTGTCAGTATTATTATACCCACACATAAGTTCATTCGGTCATAACAACTGTCGACAGGTACATAACAAATTAGCGACGAGTACATTTCAACAGGCAAAATAGATCATAACAATGTCACTGGTGTTTACAGGAGACGATTTATTTATATACATATATGTAACATGTGAAGAATAGAATTATGCTTTTTTTTCCTTCACGTTCCCTAGTGGAACATAAGGCTTCAAGTTAGTGTCTTGAAGTTTCTGTAGCAGTCTTTTTCTACAGGATGGGGTTGCTAGCCTCATGCCCAACCTTCCTTCTTCACCAGCATTATTTCTGACTTAGCGAGGTAAAGGAGTGCGTCGACCGGGAATCGAACTCCGGACCATGTGCATGTTCGGCGAGCATCCTAATCGCTATGTCACTGACGCTAGAATTGTAGTTTAGTTTCGGTTTTATAAAACTTTCAGCGTTTGTTATTCTAGACGCTTAGCTTAGAATTACGGTTCGCGCCAGTTAAAGAAGTATATAAGTTGCGAAAATATACTTTTAACAGTCTGTATATTGATTATAAAGGGCATCTGTTGTTTATCAAATAACTAACCTGAGTTATAATTATATTTCAATAGTTTACACACAATGATAGGTTTTTGTTTTTTGGTAATATTTCAATTCCAAGAGTTTGATGTGATCGTGGGCAGTAATTTTGCTCGAAATATTACCAAAAACAGGAACATAACATTGTGTGTAAACTATTGAAATATACTTATAATTTGTTCGATCTATCCTACAGTGCTCAAACGTTTTATTGAAATTAAAACTAACTTGAGCTTTATTCTCATTTGATATCACTATTGTGTACCTAAGATGTTATTTCCAGTACTACCGACCAAAAGATCACTACGAACTTAGTTCATTCACCTTTTCAGAGGAGGTTAAGACTTCCAGAGATAAATAAAATCGATATAGATTAACGTGGTTAACAAATAGCCATTACTACTGAAGACTTAAACAACAACAAAAAACAACTTACATTTTCAATTACAGACGTGCCTAATTGTAAAATATCTGAACACGTTTCATTACTGTGCTGAATAGTTTGTCCAGTTAATATTGGAATATCTAAAGTATGAGCAGCAATTAAACCATCTTTACAACATTTTTTAAATTGACTCAAATTATCCAATGGTGTTTTTGTTTTAGGCAAATTAGAACACAGTAATAAAAGAGAATTTGGTAATAAATCAAAACTAATTAAAAATATGAGGAAAATAAAATTTAAATTTAAATAAATGCCTTTTTTATAATTAGTAGTTATAACACAGTTTTTGTTATTATTGAAACATTGAAAATTCAAGTGATATAATTTCATATTTTTCATATTGTACCACATATACGCATACAGCGAGCTGGTGAAAATATTCCACGGATTTCTGAAATAAATATGAAAAGAAAAATATAACATAAAATATATGAGTATGTAGCTATTAGATGAACAAAGATATATGCAGTATTAGGAAAGTTAACACATTCTGCTGAGAAATAATGCAGTCGTAGAGTTCTTCCGTGTATACTTTTTCTAGAGTTTGCGTAAAAAGGGGATAAGCGTGTTTATATTTTAAATATATCAGTTTGATCTTGACATCAGTTGAGGGGACTAAAATTGAAACTAAGTCTAATGCAAAATACCTCAGTCTAGTTCTATCTTCCGACCTTACTTGGACATCTCATATCCTAACGATTTCTAGGAAAGTGTTCTGTCTTACCTACTACATTAAGAAACTTAGACAATCTGGAATCACCCAACCTCTACTTTCACAATTTGTCAACTCTTGTATCTTACCTATTCTACTTTACTGCTCCCCGTTAGTCTTTCCTGGTCTACTGAAAAAGGACTATACCATCCTGAGAAGGATGTTGAAGGTAGTTAGTAGGACTAGTGGTGTAAAACTCAGTCAGCTCGTCACTACATTAGTTGAAAGGCATCTGAATACATGAGAAAAATGGTCAAAAACCATACTCTCCGACCCCAACACCCCCTCTATTCCCAACTCTCGCCTTGTGTCTCAACAAGTAGAACCAGAAATCAGTATAAAATAATCTATGCTCGAACAACCAAGTACAGGAACTCAACGATACCATATTTGGCCCGTGTTCTAAGTGACAGAGACAGTGTTAAGCGCGAAACCTATGACTTACTCTGTTGTTAAGAACACAATTTTAGGCTTTTTCATTTCTCTCTTATTTTGTATTCTATGGTGAACTCCTTCTTAAACATACTTAGCTACCTGAATCATTAACACTGGCTTACTTTTGTACTTTACTCCATTCCTTCTTCGTGTATCTACTGGTTCCGACTATATTAGCACTATGAGTATCACAAAATTGTCCTGTCATTAACCATCATGTAATTATTAGTTTTTGTGGTTGTTTTTTTGTTCGGCAATATTAACTGACAATCTTGGTTGTGAACGTCATTATCACCATCTTAAAATTTTGTATTATGCAGGATTACTTACACTACCACTACAAACACCGCATTAGACCTGAAAAACAACCCTGAAATGTTATTTTATGATTGTTCAGTGTTGTTTCAACCAAATTAACTGATCATCTTGGCGATAAACATTCCTAAATATCATTTCATAACTTCTTGTATGACTATAGCTTTACTGTCACCATGCATAATCATATCATAGCTTCCACTACCCAATACTGAGATATTATTTTATGTTGTTTATTTTCCTTTCTACTTCTTGGTATCTTTCGCATTTTTTAAACTTATTTTTGTGTTTTTCTTTGTTTTTGTTGTCTTTATATTTATTTTTTTGAGATACTCCTTTCAAATGTTCAATAAAATTAGATGGAAATATTGTAGATATGTGCTGAAAATTCCACACTGTACCACTAGTACTGTTTCTGGAATAAAGTATATTATTATTATTATTATTAAAATTTCGACATCTCACTCGTATCACTAATCAGCATTCTGCAGAAGGGTTGTCTTCGTCTTTATAATTGGTACTATGCCACAAACTGGGTGGGGCAATAGTTTTTGTTTCAATACAGCTCCTGCCTTTATTTTCGCTCACGCATCACAGTATGAAATTTGCCACCTAACTTATAATATATGTCGAAAAATGTTTCCCATGGCATGAAGTCAAAAATACTTTCTTACAGATTTGAGCATAACCAAAATTATAACCATAACCTCAGAGAGTTGCTGAGTTTCGAATGAAACAGACAGTTAACTATAAGGGTAGAGTCACACGTAAATTCTTAATTTTGTTCTACTAAATCGATACAAAACTGTATTTTGCAATATAAGTATAAAACTTGGGCACTGTGGTAGAGTATAACTCCATAATGGTTGAGATTTTATTTTGATAAATCACACAGTGTTGTACAGTTATATTAACTGATGACGTTTCGAGCACAAACTATTGCTCATAATCATATGAGGATTTAATGTTGTATTAATTGTCAAATGAATGATAATCTAGAATAGAATCTTTTCATATGTCAAGAACTACTCTCAGCATGATCAAATTTTGTTTTTAATTGAAAATATATTACATCAGTCGAATGTTGGTTGAAACTCTTGACACTTCAATTATTCAAATATATGCAGTAAGTTTTCATTAAGTTTTCGTACTGTCATATAGTGTTTCCACCCTAAGAGTAATTACGCTCACCTACTTTGATAGTGAAATAATAAGCATATTATAGTCTTACGTTTGTTGAGAAGTTTTGCATGTGAATATTGTGAAATTATATCTTTGTAGAACACTTTAGAGGGTGTAATCAAATAGTATTAATATCATTTTCTGAAACACGATATTGTATATCGCAAGGCACAAACGGTCTTCTTTCTGACACTGATTATTCTAAATCTCCATTGACAAAAATGTATTTAAACCTTTTCAGACATGTTCCTATCTAAAAGATTGTTGCACAGTTAACCATAAATATTTCCTAGTGTATTTCGTCGAGGAGACGCAATAGACATATTGCGTAATGTAACAAAATGAACTTCAGCTTTAATCTATTTAAGAGAGACGTTCAAGGTTACATCTATTTGTTTGGCGGCCTGCTTGAATTGCTGGGCTACCTGAATTTCCGTCGAACATAAAGCATCATGTTTTCTCTAATTCTTATCGTTCTAACCATTCAGTTATATCCCTGAGTCATAGAGTGTACTCACACATATTTTTAGTTGGCTTTCAAAATTCAGGTGCGCATTTTTTGAATACGAAAGAAATCTACCACAAGGGAACGGTCTATGCTTCAGATAGAAAGGCATTGCTTCGAATGATATACTATAGATTCTTACTTTATTTTAAGACCCTAGATGAAGAAATTTTGCTATGCAATAAGTTACGCTAAGAATTCTGTATATTTTGCAAACGTTTTGTCTAGAATAAAGCTAACATTATTCACAAAATCTAACAGATACATTTCGATTTACCGTATACAAGAGTGAGAAGTTGATTTGAATAAGGTTCCAGTGAAAATAGACCATACAAGGATTAATTTGTGGCTGTTCTGATAGTGAGAAATGTAAGAAAATTCTTGATCTTCGTATGGAGATTCAAATATCCGTTTTGTCTAATCAAACATGTAGAAAAAGGGTCGTTCAGTGGAAATTTACTCTTTTCAGCTGCATTTTCAAGCTGCACAGTTGCATATATATTTATACATAAGAAAAGGAATGTTTCCAAATTTGTATCATTAAAATTGTAAATTTCAGATAATAATTACGTGATACACAAAGCGTTATTCGTAGAATAAATGACGGAATTGAGTAGAGCTCAACCAAAATTGAAATAGCGTCAATTTAAGATCAGGAGTAGAAATGTAATAGTGGGAAAGGAGAATAAATTAAATTATAAAAGCCAGGATTAACAAAAACTACATATTAAATGTAGAGACCAGAGTAATAAACTTTGCTGACCGTACCAGCATTCAGCTTCCCCAGGTATCTCTTAATAGACATTTACTCAATAAATTTTTATCAGGACAATCTAACAACCGCATTACATAACCTCTTATAATCAATTTGGATTAAAAGAGAATTCAAAAATGCAGAGTTGTATAAATGAAAAAGTGCTATAACTCAGTAAAAAATTTATTACTCATAAATATGTAAGTAGGGGAAGCATTTTTATCATTAAATTGTCAAATGATGTTGGTCACTTGTTCAAGTAACTTTCTAGTCTCTTGCTGAAGTTACACTACACTTTCTGTTCGACCGAAAATTGCGAACATGTTTCCAGACGTTTCTTAACACAGATGATGCTAGAGACTGCAGGTCAGAGACATAAATACAAACAAAACTATGGCAAGTCATAAAACCAGGCAAAAGCTGAATTGTGTGTAGTCAACCTGCCTTTACATTAAGACTCTAATCTAAGTAAAGAATCACTCTTGGTGATCGTGGATAGTATTTTATAATGAAGTGGCATAAAGGAAAGTAGAGATTTTATTCATGACATTAAGGCTCTAGACTAACTTAAGATAAGTTACAGGATTTCATCATGAGCTGAGAACCATTGGAAAACCCGGCAGTACTGGACGGGTATTTCGTCCCAGTTTTGGGACTCTTCAGCAACACTTCAAACAAATACTTGAATAACTTAAGATAAATTTTTATTACGTTTTAAATTTAGTACTTTATTTATAGTTAGCGAAAATTTGAGAAATAACCTAATTATCTGACATAAGAACGCAAATGAAAAAGAATACCAAAGTGACTATTTTTTCAAGCTTAGTTAATACAGGCTGGTTTACAGATGTGCATATCTACTATTTTGATAAATACGGATAAAAGCAACTGTTTTCACCTTCACTGCACGGTGTTATGTGTGACTGTTTTTCCTCGACTTTTAAATTTCATCAGCTACCTTTTCTTTCTTCTCGCTACAGAAGTGACGCTGACGCGCATACCGATATTTCTGTTGACATAAGTAAGCCCACCTATTCATGATGCTAAATATATACACACAGATGTTAAAACAATTATCTGTCGAACATCTGTAAAATTTTAATCGAAAATCTATTCTTTTATGTATTGTTTCCAAAATATACATTTACATTTATAATATTTACAAAAGAAACTGATTTAATAAGTAAATGTTTGAATAACAGATGGTTTAATATGTAAAAAGTTTTGTTGATTGAATTGTCCAAAATTATGGTCCTATTTGAGCTGCCCTTGGAAGTCGGTTATTTGAAATGTAACAGATAGTCGGTCAGATTTTAATTCGAAAATTTTAAAAGGGAATCACGCATCACTGTCCGTTTAAATGAAGTTCATTTGAGTGAACACCCTCAGCCATTTGGCTTTGTTTAGAGTATTTTTGTGAAAATGTTGTTGAAAACTATAAGCCATTCATTTTTCTAACAATATATGTGAAAAAAATGGTCTTTGAAG